TTTAAAAAACATTCTGGGTCAAACCAATCCAAAATCAATGAAACTGTAACTGTCAACAACACGCGCGTTATGACACATTTAAACCGTTTATGGAGACAATATTACGCACCAAATCACCATATAAAAGCAATTATCCACATAAAATACTTTTCATTTCTTTTATTTACAACTACACATAGATCCATCTTTTTATTTTTTCAATTTTTGTTTCTTCATAGTGCCAAATTCCATATTTAACCAACAATTACCGATATACCATAACATTTTTTGTTTAGTTTTTTCTCTTGGCTACAATAAGTAAGATCATAAATAGGCTACATCTAGGCCCATTTTTCTTTACACGTGCGTACTGAGCAAAATTAGATAGGCTATAGCTTTTTGTGTGTCAATTTATACTCAATAGCCTCATTTGTAATAGGCCTGGAATAAATAGAAATAAAACTCGTATTTCCCTTCGTGCCAAATGGCCAATGTTAATGAAAAAACACCTGTATCAAGCGTAGACGTTCTCTGAATATTGAGAAGTTTGTGCGTAATTTCATCAGTTCATTCCAATTGGACAAGTCGATAGAACCACCCTCTCCATCAAATGCTCCTGCACATTTTGATGGGTTAATTCGGCGCCGGTTCTGAGCGCGTGGCCCTGTAGCCTACTTTTGGCACAACATCCTGCCCACAATGGATTTCTCTGTGAAGCTGGGTCACGCGGGTCGATACGGTGTGGACTACTGGAAACAACAACGAAACCCGCATAAACACACTTATGGACGCTTATATTTAGGTTAACTGTAAAATGTTATATAAATTTTGGATGCAGTAGTCAGTATTTGGGGTCATATTCTTGTGTGTGTGTGTTTGGGTGTCTAGTGATCGGACAGCGCGCAGTTAAAGGGAGTCACCGTGGATAATTGCGGTCAGGTTTTACGCGCGATTCCTTGACACTATAAACGAATGCAACGAGTAAAATTAAATTCTGTATTTCACAATATTTGAACAACAAAAAGTGCTCAACAAGTATTTTTTATACAGAGAAAATATAACATAGAAAACCATTTGAATTCAACAATGAAATGGCTTCTCACAATTGCAGGTGAATAGAATATTATGGATGAAAATTTGGCACTAGAAAAAAAGGATTTATTTAGATTAATTACGATTCAATTTGTTACAATTTGCTGTAAAGACAATGCAACATCAGAATTGAAAATGGAAAAGTGTCTCTAGCCACAAAAATCTATCATGTACACTAAAAGTCATTTACATTATTATTATAATTTACAATAAGAACTCAGATTGTTGTATAATAAGTTGAATTATCCATGGCTTTTAATTACGGGTTTACTAAAGGATTTTAGGGGATTATATGCGTCGTTACATTACGTGATATTCCACTTCACTTTCAGTTTATCAGCGCATCCTTACACAACCTAAAGCTTTTAACTCACTTACAATTATACTTAAGGATCTGGGAATTCCTCTATTGAAAAATAATTTTACAATAACGGTTTTAATTTTATATACCATTAAGATAAAGTAAAAAGAACTGGCACATTTTCACTCATACACACATCAATAGAGCTTGGAATATATATATATTTAAGTAAGCAATTATTAGAAAATAACAATACTAGAAAGTATGAACTAAATACAGCGTAGTTATAATATATAAGTTATCCATGGTGCGCATTTTGGATACACCATTACGCATCACCAAACGCGGTCTCCAACTCACCATGGCCGAGTACGTGTGGATCAACATCTGGAAGCCAAAACGTCAAATTGAGCCACTTCCAAAAAATCGTCAACAAAGTCAAAAAAAGCGATAATCCGAGTCCATTCACGTAACCAGTTTTTCCCTTGACGTCGTGTTGTTTTTCCAAGTTCACGCAGATCTAAAAACCATCAACAAACGCGGAGGAGAGACTGGTCCAGCGCTCTCTCCATCAACGTGCCGCTTATAAAGAGGGCGCGCGCAGAGGGGAGGGGTCTCTCCGGGGCGCGCTGCTCTTAAAGTGGTACATTCAAGGCGATTCGGGGTCTTAAAGGTCAAATTTTATGATATTTCAAAGACTAAACCTAAACCTGTAAATGTTTACCAATCCTATATAAATCTATAACCATCGTAAATTATATCTATGTAATTTCATTTTTGTCGCTTTAAATCACTGAAAAAACCCAAACAAATTGAAAATCCATTTTATGTACAGTTATCACATTTGGCACGTAATTACGCATCAATTCAACTTGAGCAAATGCATACTTAGGCTTCTAGTATCTGACTTAAATTAAATCTTAAATGTGTTACAGGTTTAAATTACTCAAATAACATTAGTGGACTCAGCATTCATTCTATCATTTTCACAAATCTAAAAAAACAAAAAACAAAAAAAAACAAAAAAAAAACACTCTGGAACGCACAATTATAGGCCAAGAGGATCGTTACTTACCTGTAGAATGTCGCTTTTGCTCCGTGATTTCCACAGCATCCTTGCGTTTGGAGAGGCACGTGTGCGTAATTGGAGATGCTTTGGATGAAGGCGCACGGAGACTCGGGAGTGGCGCGAGTTTGGTGGCGACACTGGGCAGCGGTTTGTCAAGCGAAGAGTTTTTGTGAAGCCTGTGGAGCAGAGGAGGAGGTGGAGGAGGAGAGGAGGGGGAGGAGGTTGAGGAGAGGAGGAGAGGGAGGGAGGGGGGGCAGGTGGAAAAAAAAAAAAGTTTATTCAGTGTATTCAAAGTGGACGCGTGGACCAAAAGATGAATGGAAGAAAGAGAGGGAGAGAGAGAGAGAGAGAGAGAGAAGGAAGGAAGGAAGGAAGGAGGGAGGAATCAATAGGCCAAAGGGCAAACTAAAGCGTGAAAATGGTTCAACAATTGGTTCAATGGGGAGTAAACTGAAAATGTGCTGAGACTAGACTAAGACTAAACCAGGGCTACACCGGGGTTAACTCGATTTTAGAGTTAACCCCAATAACAGGCCTAATTTTTCAAACTAAATTACTGGATTAAGAAGAACCTAATGAAGACTCACTGGTCACCAAAAAGGAAATAGGCTTCACCACAACAACCAAGATGAAAGTTGGTTTATATATAAAAAAAAATAAATAAAATAAAAAAAGCATAAATGATAAATTAGAATTGGTCAAACTATTATAATTAGTTCCTAAATTATAAAACATCCTCAATTCTAACAACATGCATTTTGGCTGTCCTATCTGTATTGAATATTGTGCGCCTATGTATACAGTAGAATGTTGTGATATCATCTAAAACCCATCAAATTAACCCCATAAATTTGTATAAAAACTGTACTAAACTTGATATTGGCTCTGTGGTTTTGATATAACCCAAAATGTTTGAATTTATATTGAATTGTTTTTCGTTAGAATAAAAGATAAACCTGTTCTTTCACTCTTATTTTTTCCTTATTCGTCTTTCGTTGTTTTTATTTTAAGGTTTTATCCAAGGCCCCGAGGCCGCTGTGGCTCTGAGCGCAGCCAACAGCCCCAAGACGCGAAAAGAAAAGAGAGGGAACAGCGCCATCTACGGGTAAACGAATGGTTTCTTAGCTTGAATTTTACATCATTACTATTTTTACTATTTTAATGTAAACTGTAAACATGTAGCCTAGTTTGGATTAGCAGACAGAAGCAATTCATTTCTTTTTAATCAACGTTTCCTTTGCAAATGAAGATTTAATCTGAGTGTAGGGCAGTGTTTCTCTGTGGTACACAAGCTCCTTCTGGTGGTATGCAAGGGTCTCTACAGTTCAAATATTTGTTTAAAATGGACTATCTTTTATCCACGTTTTTGTCCTCTTTTGGGTCATTTCTTAGTTAGAACTGCTGTAGCAATGATCTAGTCCAATTCTATGTAGACCTTTTAAGACTTCAGATTTAGATTTTAGATTAAAACAGAACTAAACCAGGACTAAAACGGGCACTAAACCAGGATTAAGTCCAATTTGCTTTAGGAGCTTTTATGTTTTATAACCAAACCCATAGACCCCCAGTGTGAGAATGAATGATTAAGGCTATATTTCCAACTAAGCATTTAACATAAAGTAATATAATGTAGCACTAAACTAGAACTGAACCAACTCAAAACCATGATTAAACCAGTACCACATGTGGTCTAAACCAGTGTGTACCCAAGGAAATAGGTTTTAACTATTTTATATCAACATGTTTTGCTTTTAATAGCACTATACAACAACAAAAATCAGTGCATGCTCTTAAGGTTGTCAAAAGTATCAAAGACCAAACTAATCTATATGAAAACGAGTGTAAGGACTAAACTCATTTGAGCAGGTATCAATATTAAAAAAGTCACATTCACAGGACAGAAATTAACCTTTCCTGATTAGCTTTAGAATGATGTTGAGCTGTATCAGAACAAATATAAAAGCACATAGACAAGTATACACCCAGGGACGTACCTGGACAACTACAAAAATACAGAGCTATAATGCAATTACATGGTAATTTAATGTAAAGTACTGCCATTTAATCTTGAAAATCACATTCTTTGTGTGTTTTTACTATCATTGTGCTATCAGAATCAATATTGAGTATAAAGTCTGTTCCTTAGTATCAAAATAAGACCCACTTTTATTCTCTGGTTTTTAACACCGTGTGAGTTGTGTGCTCCTCTGTGTTTTTTATTTTTATGTGTTTTTATTGATTTAATTTATTAATTAGTTTATTTCTATTCTATGATTTAGTTTTTATTTTATTTTACTGGTTTTATTATTTTAAGACTAGTATTATTTTAGTAGTTTATTTTATCATCTTATTATTGTTGTTATTATGTTGTATTTGTGCAGCACTTTGGAAACTCTTTGTGAAATGTGCGATAGAAATAAAGTGGATTGGATTGAAAATAGAGTTTGAAATGTTAGTATCAGGACAACACTGCATGCTCCTTGAAAAGTGAATTCTATCTGGTCATGGAACTGACTCATTCCAGAAGAATTTATAAAAAAAAAAAAAAAAAGCCAAACATTTTCTGATAAAATAGCTCTTTATTAATTGCATTATTTACCATTTTAATTTACAGATTCACAGGCGATATGAAGAATGACAATAGCATACTTTGTCTTTCTGAATGCTTTAATTTCATATTTAGAATTATTTAGCAGCTGCTAGTCGTTTGAGATTGGTCATACAGCTCAACCCTCCTTTGTCAGTTTTCATGGCAGTGTGGATTTCCTGTTTACAAAGCTGACACTGGTCGGCCACAGCACACAGCGCCTCCTCCAGGGCGTTTTGTGTATCTTCGTCGGGCAGGGCTGTGGACTGTCCCAAAGTGGTGAGCATATGCTTTAACCAGCCTTCGTCTCGGATGAGGGAGATGATCCACGGTTGAGTCCGCACACAGCTGCCCAAAGCCTGGACAGAGAGCCTCCAGAGCTCGGCCACCTCGTCCCAGCAGCGACCCCAGGCAGGGCTCACCGTCGCTGGGCACGAGTCAGAGCCAGGGGTGAGTGTGCCGCGGAGGAAGCGGAGAGAGCAGGAGAGCAGGCGGCGGTGAGAGGAGTCAACAGAGTCTGAGGAAGAAAGGGAAATAGATCAAGAACTAAATATAGAAAGTTTTCAATAAAGGTCTTTAGCAGTTCCATGGTTAATCCCTCCTGAGAGATACAATATGACACAGACTGAGGGTCAAACAAACAAAAAACACAACATAATTTATTTAACAAGATGATTTGAATCAATACATTTCAGTGTGAAATGTAAAAACAAACTAGGGGAGTAGACAGGACTAAATGAAGCAACACAAAAATGGGAAAACTGAAAAATAATCAAATTCAGTTAGAACCAAACTAATTTCAGCAACAAAACAGAATTTTTTTTGTCAGAGATATATTTTCCAAAACTACAATTACCATCTATATTTCAAATCATTCTTTATATTTTACCCTTTATACTGATTGAGGGGATTTTTTTTTTGTTCCACCCTATTTCTCAATGAATTCATAACAGAGCAGAACCTCCAGGTTGTGTCACACTTCCAGGGGATGTTGATGACGTCAGCTGCACAGTATGAATCCACTCACCGGTTTTATTCCTGAGTCGTCCGATCATTAGACCCAAAGTGCAGAAGTTTGCTGCTAAAACCAACAGACTCGGTTTATGCACCAAAACAGGAAGAGCTTCACTCAACAGGGTTTCCAGCACCCGGAAACAGGGGTCACTCCTACAAGATAAAAGGGTACAGTTTAGATGCCCGGTGAGTCAGTCCCTTCTCCTTTCTGTTCAAATGGAGACAGGAAACTGTTCCTGACCATAATGTCCTTGTACAGTGCTGTAATAGCATGTGGTTTTGGCTGGTCAGGCAAGTGGTTCTGTACTGTTCCTGTAATATAAAACCTTTAATAAAAGCTGCTAACCCTGTATTTTAGAGCTCTACAAACATGTTCTAAAATGCAGGGGATTCTTACATTTGTTTAACAGCTCAGATTTCAGTCTTCTCTGAACATGTGATACTCCTGGACGCGTTTAAAATGTACAGTACGTACCAAGTCTGGATTTCAAAACATTTAATCAACAATTCTTGTCAGAAAAGAAAACGAAAAGAGGAAAAAGAAGGGATTAGATATTTTTCCAAAAGACTTAAACCCTATCATGTAATATACTTTTATGTTAGTATACTTTGTGTCTTCATGATTGCAGCCATACCATCTAAACCAACGGTGTAAATCAGTGTCAACTTATTGTTACATTTGCCACTATTTTGTCTCCAGGAAGGTGTTTTTGCTTTGTCTGGAATGTGCCACAGTATGGCATTGAAATAAACCCTTGTATCTCCCTGGAGGCTTGTACCTGACTCGTTGGGGCTCTGTGACAGTGAAGTTGAGCAGGGCAGAGCAGGCAGTCTCCAGACTGGGGTCTCTCTGAGCTGGAGACTGTTCCTTTAGAAAGCTCCAAGACTGAGATAGGAAGCCCACGAGGAGCTGCGGGGTGTCCAGGGAGAGGAGCTGCTTCCTGGGTATGTCCTCAGCTGACAGGTGGCATAGAGCTGGGAGCAGATACCTGAAGAAACACAAAACACAATGTTTTAAACCATTATAACTGATAATTTTGCTTCAGGTGCAATTTTGTGATGTCAGTCAAATGCCTTATTTGTTTAGACTGGCCTATTCACTTTTATCATAGTAATCATCTTTTTTGTTTGTATTTTGTATCTTGAGGCCCATTTCTGTACATGTATATTATAGTGAAAAGCAGCAAATAAATAAATTAAAAGAGTTTGTTCAATAACCTGAAGCTCGACAGTTCAAACCCCACTTGGGTAAATGTACAGTTGTTGTGTTCTTAGGCAATACACTTGACCCATCTTGCCTATATATGAATGTGGTGAGTGAGTAATGAGGCCAATGGCACAGACTGGCAGCTATGCCTCTATCCGTCTACCCCAGGGCAGCTGTGGCTACAATTATTGTATTCCCACAAAGTGTGGAGTGAAAATAAATCACACACTCCATTTATTTATACTGGTCTTACCTCAGTGGTTCCTTCCCAGTCCAACCTGCTCGCTCTCCATTCACTGACTGGTTCATCCAATCAGAGAGACCTGTTTGCTCGCCATCATCATTTATGTGACTTCTGCAGTAGCCAATCAGAAAGGGCAGCAGGGCCGTCACTTCCTCCTTCAAACAGGAAGTCTCCTCAGCCAGCCACGAGCACAGTGAGCGGAAAGTGGCAAAAATAAAAGGGTCTCCATAGCGACTCTGATCCACCTGCACAAATAGGACATGTCTTTAATATAGAAGTAACAATCTGGATATTTCTATATGAAAACACAAATATTACCTGAGAAATTACATAAAAATGATCATCAATTTTATCAATATACTGAACTTAATTAAGAAGATGTTCTGCAGTTTGGACAGTAGAACAGTAAATCAATGGACCCATTTGTATTATTAAGACGTTTTAGATCAATATTGCTTAAATTGCTTGATTATATTGTTTAAAATGAACAAAATGGAAACAGATGAAATAATTCAATTACTAAGTACCTGAAAAAAAGCACATGTCCTCTATAAATTGACTGGTATTATTTGTGACCCTGTCGATCATACCAGCATTAACAGTTCTACCCGCCCCTTGTACCTGTTGTAGGTGGTAGATCACAGCAGAGAAAGCCTCCTGCAGGACCTCCAGGACCTGCCTGCTCTGCTGCAGACTGAGCCCAGAGACAGTGCCCTGTGCTGGGGCACTGGTCCCTGTGACACAGGCCTGCTCCATGGCCGCCTCCATGATGCGGTAACAGCCTGAGAATGACAGGACGACAGGTTAAGCCTCAAGGTTTAAAGAATGAACAATCAAAGCATCAAACTATTGTTCATCTCAAGAAAAATAAGTTACATATTTTATTTGGTTCTGGATGTTTGGAGAGAAGAAATCTTCTGCATTAGAGAGACGTGCTACAAAGTAGCGGCTCTAGTTGGACAGTCTCAAGTTTGGATAGAGGTTTTTCACGCTCTATGATCCAGTCCCAATCCCTCCTGTTTTCAAACATAATGTAGAAGGGACTGGCTTGTCAGGCAAGATAAATGTCATACTAATATATTATATTCTGGGATATTATAATCTGGAATATTCTGGAAAATGCTATAACTTGCTATAATCTTTATGGACACAAGCAGTTGGCAGACGACACATCAGAAGAGTTACATAATGCACTCAGATCTTCAATTCATTACTTACAAATTCCTTGCAAATTTACGAGTTTAATAGGGTACTTGGAACCATTTTGTTTAGTCCTATTCTTTAAAAAAAGGATAAAGGATTAACTATTGTTGAACGTCTGTATATCAGTATACCTAAGATAAACCTACCGGTGAGTGTCTGCTGTGTCTCTGGACTGAGTTGGTTTCCTGGTGGTTCCTCAAGGCCCATCCTGACCTCCACACAGGCGCGATTCACCAACAAACAGCAGAACTTAGGCGGTCCTACTGCCTCCCATCCACACACGTCCAAAAGGCAAGCCCCCAGCACCAACACTGGACCAATCTGCTTTGGCGTCAACTTGGACTGTAACATCGGCCTTAGAACTCCCCAAATTTGACATGCAATGTCTTTTAATTTTTCATTTTCTAGATTTGATCCAATCGGAGGCAAAAACTGAACCAATTTAGTGCACATTTCTAATTTGTCTTTCTCTGAAGTTTGTGTGAAATTCTTTGTCAGCTTTGTCAATAAGTTAAACAGTTCAGCTGGATTCTTGCTCCACGCTTTTTCTTTAGTTTTTCCAGAAAGCAGGCATCCTAAAAGTGGAATTCCCTTCTCGTGGCTTAAAGTCTGGTTTTGTTCCACAGCTTGGCACAATGCACGGACAGCCCCACGATTTAAAAGCTGCTCAGGACCAAGTGGTAAAGCACAAACTGAAAACAAAACCTGGTAGCAGTCTGCAGCAATAGCTTCATCAATTTTAGTGAAAGACTGAGTTGTAGATTGACCATTTTGTGTGCTGGCGCCATCTCCATTTTGCTCACTTTTTACAAAATTGCTTTCTGAATTTTGCCCTCTCAGACTTCCCATAGTTTCTCCAGCCTGATTGTTGTCCTCTTGCTTTTGCTGGTTGGACAGGATTTGTAGTAGAATGGGGATAGTGGTGAGAAGCTGTGGTTTGTAAGCCATTTCCGGATCAGTGGTCAGGGCGGCCAGGAGGGCGGTGCCCAGGGAGAGGAGCTCATTTGGGGCTAGACCCGAGCTCTCGCTGCTGCCTCTGATGGCTGTGACCAGGAGGCGAGCTGGAAGATTCAAACCAACTGCTTCAAAAATACGCCTCAGAGTGGATTGGTCCAACTGGTTTGCAGGGCACAGGCGAGTGATCTGAAAAAGGGAGACAAAAATTTTCACAAACTGCAATTTATTACTTGAAACTACAATGTTGGAATTATTTTGTGTTACGGCCCAGTTCTGCTAAGGCCAGGAAATTTGTCTTAGAAATTGAAAGATATGGAATTATTCTTAATTATTTTAATTTATTGCAACCTCCAGTTTCCACTTCTGATATTTTTTGCTCCACATTTTAATTCAAGAGTTTGAAAGTCAGAAAAAAATCCATTACCCATCACTGATAGTGATGGAAATTTTGTGTTGGACTCACTTAAAGCAAACCACATTTAATGAAATTACTAGTGAAGAATGTAAGTTTTGCTAGGTCTTGTAATGTGTCCCAGACACAATAGGACATTACATACACTTAATACTGTGCTTATGTGTGTGTGACAAATAGAGCATTTGTTGCAGTCATTGTGAGATGTGAGAGTTTAACTGTACTCCAATACTTGACTTTTTTACAATATATAGAATTATAAACAATCTGTTTGACCTGTAACTTGGTGTGGTGTCTCCATGGAGACAGGCAAATGTAATGCCATACTGTTGCTCATTCCAGAAAAATAATTACATAGCCATTACAACAAGCATCAGAAATGGCACAGTGCAACGTCCACAGTGCAACGTCCACAGTGCAACGTCCACAGTGCAACGTCCACAGTGCAACGTCCACAGTGCAACGTCCACAGTGCAACGTCCACAGTGCAACGTCCACAGTGCAACGTCCACAGTGCAACGTCCACAGTGCAACGTTCCCTCCACTCACCAGAAGAAGTGCAGCGAGTATGTGACTGTCATTCTTGGCGTGTTTGAGTGCATGAAGACACCTCTCCAGCACCTCTCTCTGGGCATCACTCAAACCACCAACTCCTGCATCTTCTCCATCTTTACCCTCGTTCTGTTCATCTTTCCCGTTCGTTTCGCCGCCGTCCATCGCGCTTTCAGCCATCATTACCTTAACAATTATTAAATAAAGGCAAGTAATGTCAAAAGATCACTCCATATGCCACGTGTATCATCCTAAAACCCCATTGTCAATGTAGATACTGCCTTGTTTTGCATTCCAACTGTCTCCTCTAAACAACTACAAATAATACATTTGTTTAAATATTTATAATAAGCTTTAAAAGTATGAATAACTCACTGTTTACTCTCCTCTCCTGATTTTCACGAGGTTGATTCGTTGCTCATGCTTTCCGGATACGTGTGCCAAAATAATACCGGAGCAGCCAATAGAAATAAGCTTTCAATATGAGTGGACCAATAGGAGCAAGTGTAGTTAGAACATCACATTCGCCATTTTGGGTCGACGCAGTCACTATGGAATACGTTGAATTATTTTTTTTATTTGTAATATATATATATATATATATATATATATATATATATATATATATATATATATATATATATATATATATATATATATATATATATATATATATATATATATATATATATATATATATATATATATATATATATATATATATATATATATATATATATATATTTTTTTTTTAACTTTGGTCTGAGTTTTATAGGAAAAAAAAACAAAAACAAAAACAAAGATCAGCATAAAAACTGTGAAATACCCAATGTATTGCAGCACAGCTGTTGCCTTAACAACGAACAGCAGGTGGCGAAGGACAACCGGATATCGTATACAACACAATTTATATATATATATATATTTTTAATTTTATATTTAAACTAATTTTAACAACTACTAAATTGTGTGAATGCAAGTGAAATGTATTTATAAATAATAAAAAAAAAAAATCTTTGGAACCTTCTATGTTTTTTTATGGATTTTGAGGGTAATGCGAAAACGAATAAATTTACCTTTATCTGTTATTATAATATATATATATAATATTATAATGAATTAATAAAAACACTTATTCACAGTTCATTGATGTATCAATATAATTCAATATTTACTTATTTCCTCTACACTTATTCACTTTGTTTATAGTGCGTTTTTATGTATTTGTTTGCATTAAAATTGCATACATAAAAATGAGAAAATAAAAGAAACCGCAATTTGTTCTTTTATTGTGAAACCCCAGTCCCCGCCGGAAGTTGTATTTATCTATGGTTTGGCATTGGAGTCGCATCAGCTGAACCTGCCAGAGGAACACTGACCCAATTTACTGCCCAAGACATCGAAACTGCGACGGTGACACGACTCCCAGGGGGTAAACACGAAGCGGGGGACCTCATCTTTGCTCTTGGCTGTAAGTACACTGTAATGCGCTCTAATTATTCGTGACAGGTTGCATTAAAACACGCGTAGGGCTATTACGTGGTGAAGGAGAGATGCCAACAGCAAGGTGCTTGGAACAGCGTTATCTTGGATTACACACGTGATTTTCCATATCCTTACCTAATAATCCATGTCTTTATAATTTTGTAAATGCTTTTTTTCAGTAATTAACGTCACAGTATATCGCTTTGCTTGTTTTGCGATTTTCATTATAGTGGATACGCAAGGTGGCTTTCTTCGGATCTTGTATGTATGACTAACTAGAACCATGCTGCTTTAGTCTGATTTATTTATAAGCAGATAAGCAACTGTACGAGACTGCCAAGCCTCCATTTTGAATTAAATGTTTAATCATTTAATCTTTTTTTTAAATCTTGGTTTTGATGAATGGGCTGTTGTTCTTTTAATCCAGATTGCACTGCATTAGTAAAACATTGGCCCTTAATCACTACTTTAACAATACCCTTTCTTAAAGAAATATATATTTATGGTACGTTTGGAGCACTTGAAGTAATCACTGTATGCATAGTTTAGTGCCTAGAGTTTGAATAGACAGAAGGTTCAGAAGGTTCAAAATTAAATGAATAATGCAGTTAATATTAATAATCATATTCATTACTCATTGGTATATTGTTGGTAACCACTGGGACTTTCATTTTGACAAGAATAGATTTTCAACACAGGTGCTCAATTTCTCAGTTCTGTATTTTGAGTCAAATGTGTTGCAGGTATTTGTATGTTAACCAAAAACTAAAATTCAAGAACAAAAAATAAAAAAAGCCTTTTCTACAGCATGGGTATTGACAAAATAAGCACCAGCATATTTATTTGTGGTCTTATTTGTGTATAGAACCAGGTTTTAACCAGGGCTGCGCCAGGACCATGACTGTACCAGGACATTACCGGGACTGTACCAGGACTGTACCAGGACTCTACCGGGACTACACCAGCACTAAACCAGTTCTAAAACGATACTAAACAGGAACTGAACTGGGACTAAACCAGGACTGAAGTAGAAAGAAGCTCTAAAACTCCTTAAAATATATACATGTTTGCCTGAATACCTTTAAATAAACTTCCCTGTATCCTGTTTGTAATAGAGGGCCATTGTTTTACATTGCTTGGTTTATCTGTCAGCAGCCTGTCATTTTGAGATGAGTGGATAACTGAGATAAGATGAACAGGTGCAAGAAAAACCAAGATATTACCTAAAAAATTTTGACTGTTACCAAAAATAGGCTCATTTTTGTCCTCATTTATACAGCTTAGTGTTACGGATGTATTCTAGTTTGTATTCTTTCGTATGTGTATTTGAAACCAATTAGTAACCTACTGATTACAGCTTTACCGCATAGCTAACATCCTGTACCTTTGTAAATTGATTTAAAATATACACTTAGCCATTCTTGTTACTTCTAATTAAACATAATTATATTTGAGAGAACAGGTTAAGACCTCTACAGCACATAACTGTATGGCATTTGACTGTAATCCATGCTGTCAAAAGCTTTTGCCTGCTCTTGTCTGCATATTTCTGACAAATTTTAGTTTCTCATGATATAAAGTTTGTCTAGATATAAAGGTTTGTGGAAGTTTTATAACCTATATTCTTTTTAAACTGTCTCAATTTCTATTTCAATTTCCTCAATGCCTTTGGATTTGGCTAGTCTTATTCATTATAGTGCTGTCATGCGATTAAAAAAAATTGAGAGATTAATTAATTATGATCTGTAATTAATTAATCTAATTAATCTCATTTTAATCTCACCTAAAAAATTGCTGAGAAAAGCCTTCAATTTGAGGTATTTTCATTTAAATTCATTATTACATTATTGTGGCAGATCAAAAGACTGATATAGATAAAAAAAAAGTGACTTTATAAAGTCATTTATTGTTTAACAAATCTCTCCAAATTGGCTGTTGAGCCCAAGTCTCCATGAATAAGAAACTGTTTGCTGTAAAGTAGCAAAGATGAGCATATCTGAACATAATAACCTTTGTCTACTTAAAGACAAAAAAAAGTCCAGTTTTTCCTTAACCATATTAAAAATATTATTGATAGAGAAATGCTTTATATATGAGATCACTGGTTTTAGTCCTTGTTTTAGTCCTGGTTTAGACCTGCTTTAGTCCTAGTTTAGTCCTGGAATGGATTAATCCTGTTTTAGTCCTGGTGTTAGTTCTGGTTTAGTCCTGGTTTAGACCTGGTTTAGACCTGGTTTTAGTTCTGGTTTTAGTTCTGGTTTAGACCTGGTTTTAGTTCTGGTTTAGACCTGGTTTAGTCCTGGACTGGATTAGTCCTGGTTTTAGTCTTGGTGTTAGTTCTGGTTTAGAGGCGCACAGGAGGAAGCGCAGTTTACGCATCGTACGCGAGAAAACACGGTCCACACTAGGCGCACAGGAGCACGTCGGTGTCCGCGCAGTAACTACGGAAGGAAACGTGGTCCGCACGTTCTCAGGTTAATGACGTTGATGAAGGTGTGTGTTTGTGTGTGTTTGTGTATAGGACAGTAGTGCAGACATCATGAGCCTATGCAGGTTGTTTTCACCAGTGACATTTAAGTTGTAGGCGATATTATATTTGTTATTTTCTTTTATATTTCACGTCGGGAGAATAATTTCCAAGACACGAATGCGTTTTTACCTGTGCACTGCTGGTTCTGTTCTACTGGCTCTTCCACCTCGTCCATTGTGTGACTGACGCCGCCAACGTTAACATGACGTTTACATCGCTCTTACTGCGTGCGTTTTGTGTGGGTTTCCGGCAATGAGTGGAATTACCGAAATAAAAAAAAATGTATAAATGTGTTTTTTGTGTGTGTTGTTGTTGTCCCAACAACACATAAAAACAGGTTTTATAATAAAGCAACTCGCATACAGAAACCGTAAAGTTAGAGATAAAAAATTAGATTAACGCGATTAAAAAACATAACGCGCTAAATATGACTGTAATTAATTAATCGCAATTAACGCGATAATTTGACACCCCTAATTCATTATTTATTATATTTCTCTCCATCCCGGCTCTGATAGGTGGGGCCGAACGATTTTAGAAACACATTTTTAGACACGTTTAGGACACGTTATAATAATGCTTTGCCTTTCAAGAATGCCAAGGGACTTTATATTGCATTATACATTGCCTTGTGGTAGGATTTAGCTACTACTAGTAAGTTACTGTTGCACTGACAGACAAAAGTGAGGCCTGTCTGCATCATTACCATCATACCAGGGTTGCCACAAGATCTCATGCCACAAGATCTCATTAGACAAAATTGCTACAAAACTGCATAATGTGGAAAAGGATCTCGTGAGATTTTTTCTTAATCAGTTTTACATTTGCCTTGGATAAAAAAGGGTTAACTTTGCCGAGTAACTCCTCTTGAGAAGCTGTTATACCAAAAAGCAGCGTTACAATGACAGCAAAACTGTAAAATTAAATCAAGCAAAAATTATGAAAAAAAAAGTATTATAAAAAAATTGTCTCGATCTTGTGGACTGAATCTCGACTCATGTCTCGCCTCGTAGAATTTGTGTCTCATCCCGTCCCTGTATTATACCATCACCAGCACTCACACTCATTCAAACTAGGCAGAATGGCCAAAGTGTCTTGCCTAAGGACACAACAATAGTTTTTTTTTGCATTTTAAAATCAAGGTTCTTTTCACAGTGTACATCTTAAATAGAGATAGACTGATATATTTGGGCTTTTATATTGACTATCAACCTTAAATCTCAAGCACAGGCTATACTGGTCGATCTTTACCCTAAAAATACACACAAGGTTTTATTTTAACCCTTTTTACGAAGATATAACTGCACAAAGTGAGACTGCACAGCTCTCTTAAAGGACCCATATTACGCTGTTTAATGATCTATGTTATAATGTTGTTTCCTCATCACAAACAGACGGAGTTGGAGTTGTGTTTTGTTTCACACGTTTAACACACAAACCATGCACATTTAGACTTCTATCAAACTAAAACACTCTGTTCCACTTTGTGATGTAAACTCCATACAGATTCGCTCGAATAATTTGGATCATTTTAGTTCTGGAATTGCCCATCTTTACTGAACTAATTTTAAAAGATAGCTGTTAACTTGAAAAATACTGCTTCATGACATCACAAGGTGGAACACAGCATTTTGAGCTTTGAAGATGTAGACAGACTAATAATTAAAGATCACTCAAGCATGTGTGAATGAAATAAAACACAACTCCAGGTCTGTTTTTCAGGAGGTAACAACATTATAACATGACTTAAAGCTCACAAGAGTCCATTTTGAGTAGTATAAGACCTTTAAAGGTTTGTGGCATAAAAGTCTGTCTGTCTTACATTTAGTTTTGGTCTAGAAATGAATTTGTTTTGCATTACAATGTTGCTTTCACTTATACCGTTTCCTTATTTTTCTTCACAGATACATTTCGGAAAACTGCAACTTATGCAAAACTGGAAAACCAAAACTGGAAAATATTTGAACAAGAAAGACGATGATGTCAGTGTGGTGTTAAAGTGACTATGGCTTGGTCAGTAACTGCATTGTTCTGAATGGGATAAACTGCCATTGAGACAAGCATAAAGATTCATTTGTACCTGGGAAAGTGCACAACATTACTTGGAATTGTAAAGAGAAGCATTATCGGATTTCCTTGTGAGCTGTTCGGATAATATTTTTTTTTGAGTTTTGAAATTTGAGAAATGATTTGATGCCGTTTTGGAGAAGAGAAAGCAACTCTAGCGCAGAGGAATGCAGGCTCACATGGAGCTAGGCAAACAGGTTAGTGTCAACAACCAAGCATGAAATGTAAGACTAAACTAGGACTAGACCGTGACTGAAGCAGGACTAGACCGTGACTGAAGCAGGACTAGACCTTGACTGAAGCAGGACTAGACCTTGACTGAAGCAGGACTAGACCTTGACTGAAGCAGGACTAGACCTTGACTGAAGCAGGACTAGTATACCAAGGCTAGACAGAAATAGGTCTGAAACAAGACTTAAAGTAATTAAAAATAATCTGAAAGCATGGTTATTCATTATGGATCTTTTTATTGCCCAGTAAATCATGTCTTTACTCTGAGCGGACTTGCCTCTCCACAAACCTGATTCTTATTTGGCCTAGAGGAGGGCCTGCTTCTACTTGTTTGCATGGAAATAATGTTCTTTTCGCTATAATATTACATAGTATGGCATAAAATGTATCTATTGCCATGGAGAAAGTTCTAAAGGGTGGTTTTAACTTTTAACATCCAGGTAACTTTCCACCTCCTCAAAGTTACACACTGTACCTTTTTAAAAGTAAGACTGTGTAACTTTCTGGAGGTGGCACGTCTCCTGCATGATTCCATGGAAACGGAACATTTTATGTTGTGTGGAACACTAAAGCTTAAGGAATAACATTTCCATTGAAACGAGCAGGAAGGGGCCCTCTTCCAGACTACACAGGTCTGTAGAGATGCAAGCCTCCTCAGAATACCCAGCACAACCAAAATGAAAAAGATAACAAAACAAAAACATTTTATGTATTTTTTAAAGTATTTATTGGTTAAAATGTTACCTGCTGTGGCTTTAAACCAGGTCAAAATTAGACATGGAACTGAATCTGGATGAAACATGGACTAAACCAGGTCTAAATCAGGACTGAACAGGAACTGCTGTGATATTATGTGAACAGTTTTTGACATTACAAGGTCAGACACTCAGAGGTTTTTGTTTAACCTGCAATATTGACAGGTCACTCTGCTCTGCATTTGTACACTGATAAAAGCTCATAAATAATGAGTGATCTGGTTTATTACCAATATTTGGCTGAATGTTGTTTGAAAAATGTCCATTATTTTTAAAAGCAGAGTGGAGGCACAGAATATTAAAAAAATGATCACATTGCAAAATCATGATACAAAACAATACACTAAACCTGGTACAATGTGCAGTAGTAGTAGTAGTAGTAGTATGTAGGGTTGTATGTTGACAATTTGAACATTTGTTTTTCTTGCACCGCTTATTAGGGTATGCATAATTATAAATCTGTTGTACATCCCAACAGTTACTCTTTAACTTACTCTTACTTGAGTTGTAGTGAGGGATGTAGTGCAAGTAGTGCATGTAGTGCAGGGCCCAGTACAAGAATGGGCCCCTCACAAAGCCTGTAATGTGCATTTTTCATTAGACAACATGTAGTGTGGGCCCACCAAGATGATTTGTACCCAGGGCCCAGGATTTGGTGTTACACCCTTGGTTTTGTTTCCCCAAATAATTTTTATTCTTGAGTAATTTCTTGGACAACTACTTGGTTCTTCAACTTGAGTAATATTATTTTGAAGTAACAGTACAACTTACTTTAGTACAAATATTGCTATTCTATCAACCTCGGATATGAAATAGTCAGCACTAGCAACTTAAGTTCAAAGTATTGACTTGCAATAAAGTCAGAAGCCAGCTTTGAGCTACTGAACATGTTCTGTTCTATTTTGAAGTTTTTATCTATAAAAATAATATCTATCACCAGAGTTCAAAGTCCATACAGCACATACAGCTGACTTGTTTAGGCTGACCTTTCGATCAAGGTTATGTTTTGTTTATGTTCTGTGATGCAAGATTAGCTTACCAAGTATTCACAAAATGAAAAACCAACATCAATTGTTTAAATTTAGTTTTTTTAAGTGTTTTTTAAAGGTAACAAAAATTGACTCTAGTGAGCTTTAAGCCATGTTATAATGTTGTCACCTTATGAAAAACATACCTGGAGTTGCGTTTTGTTTCATTCACACATGTTTATGATTATGATTACAAGTCTATCTACATCTCCAAAGCTCAAAATCCTCTGTTCAACCTTGTGATGTCATGAAGTGGTAGTTGTCACAGCTACTGTATCTTTTACATTTAGTTCAGTAGAGAGTCTGAAATGATTCAAATTATTCTTGTGAAGGTGTGTGGAGTTTCCAAACACAGTGGAGCACTTCCTGTATTAGCACATGACATCACAAGGTGGAACAGGGTGTTTTCACTTTGAGAGAGCACTATCTGTAGGGTTTGTGTGTTAAACATGTGTGAATGAAACATAACACAACTCCAGTATGTTTGTATGTTTGTGATGACGAACATTATTAGGTGGTTTAATGTTTGATTAATGCTCTTGAATGTTTGAACTTTTTTAAATTGTTACAAGATACAAGATACAATTTTATACTAATCAACCCAGAAAAAGTTTTGAAATCACATACTAATTTTAGTAGAAGTTGCCTCATAGTAATGTAGAAGAAATTAGAGGTAATTTTTGTGAATAATTACATTCAAATTTTTATAGAAAAAAGCTGTTTTTTTCTGTGGTCTGTGTAATTTGTCCTCATGAATGAATCAACAAGCCTGAGGTTTTGGCCCACATCCGACTCAACATGCAAAACTTTGTCCTTTTTTTCTCTCATTTCTTACCCCGTTTGGTCAACATTTTAAACAGTCAATCAATACAGTGTTCACATGTCCTTTCTGTTTGTTTTTACAGATGAATTTGACCTCTTGAGCTGTGCCAGCCCCAGCGTCAGCCATGTTGGATCTGTTTCACACTTCGCCGACTTAAACTCCTCGTTCTTCCTCTTTGTTTCTTCCATTGCTCGACCAGAGCCAGGTAAACTGCACTGTACTTTAAGATCCACCACATGTACGGCCCAAAATCACAGCAGCATCTCATCTCATCTGTATCATGGACAAAGTGTGGCTTTCACTTTTTTTTTTTTTCTGTCCATGGGTTCAATTCAGGTGATGTGCCACATCTAGAAAATTACAGTGATGCTTTAACAGAAAACAGTAAAGGCCCTTTGAGATTCAGAAATCTCCTTTTCAAAGGAGTTCATGTCAAATGAAAGGTCAGATACCTGTATTAAATGCTACCTAGATACAATGTTTAATGCCATACCGTTTAATATTTCAGGCAAAGCCGTTATACCTCCATGGAGACAGATGGAGCACCTAGAAAACTAGAAAAGTTACTCAGTACACCTTTACAGTAAATTGCTACAGTAGCACCTGAATGCTTCATATCCCAGCTCGGATAAGCCCAGTTCTTATATGCAATTTAAAATAAGTTTCATAATTTCAAATTGATCTAAAATGTGCCTTATTTGTAATCTAATCTTGTGTATTGTTTTCTTCAGATCTCAGTGCAAAATGTTGTTTGCACAACAGAGTTTACCTCATCTGCTCCTCGTCTACCTCTGCCTCCTGGCCCCTCCCTCAGGTAAGACCTACTAAGAACTTCTCTCTGTCTGCAGTGATATGCTTAAAATGATGCTCTTCTGTTTTTAATTGTTAATCGCTATAGCAACAGTCCCAATTCCTCATCATTCTGAAACCCACTGGTATTATTTTTAATTACAACTTGTGTCTAAAAGAGAAACATTGAATATATGGTACAGAGGAGGGACACTGAATATACTGTATAGTGCAGAGGATAGGTCAGATGGAGAAGAGGATTCCCAAGTGGTAAAACAAAAAAACACTAACACTGTGTTTAACTAACACTTTGTGTTTAACTGAACGAGCCTGACCTCTTGTATTGACTTAAACTTATTAAGTTTCCTTCTCAGTTATCTGCAGGTGAGCGTCACGCCTTTGATTGCTCAGGGAGGATCTTTGGTGAATTAGTGACCGTTTATTTGTGTTTATTCTTTTTTTTTTTTATTTACAGTCCTCATATTCTTAGCCCCTGCTGTTAAAGTGATGCTGTAGTCTCAACAATAGGGCTATTTAATACAGAAAGGCAGTGGGCATTGTTGTGATGTATGCGAGTGCGGGGGTGGAAGGGGAGCGACAAGGGACAAAAAGACTCAAACAGAGCGTTATGCTATTTGTGTGAAAAAGTGCATTGTTTTACATGGTTGTCAAAGTGTCTGAAACCAGTATTGAAACTAGATACTCATTTTAGAGCTGCAGGTATCAATACTAAAGTCCCATTGACAGGACAGAAATGAAGCTTTCCTGAATGTCTTTAAAATGATGTTGAGCTGTATCACAACAAGTATAACAGCACGTTGACTAGTATACACCCATGGACCACTATGGAACCTACCTGGACCACTGAGGGATTACCGTATTTTTTGGACTATAAAGTGCACTGGATTATAAGGCACAATATCAATAATGTTGAATTCTGTCGTCTATTTTCATTCTTAAAGTGCACTGGATTAGAAGGCGCATTAAGCAAAACAAACGGACGTTGACTGGGTGGATAATTTAAGTTTGTTTTTTATTTCCTTCGAGGATGACTCAAATATACATTGAGTAATAATGCGTTTAATGCAGCTTTTACACATTTATTTACATTTTACAGAAACAAAACTTAAAACCACATGGCTTATTTGCATAAACTATAAGAACTGAAAAAACAGCTCACTCCTTGCGTCCTGATGTGGTCAGCTTCTGTCGGACTAAAGGATATGGAATATGTATGTTCTTTCTGTGTCGCACTAAAATATTTTGACAGATTTTTGAGCGCCGTGTAACACATAAAATCGGATCGAGGTCAGTAAGCACAACCAGAATTAATACATAAGGTGCACTGGATTATAAGGTGCACTGATGATTTTTGAGAAAATTTAAGGATTTTAAGTGCTCCTTATAGTCTGAAAAATACAGTACACATAGAAAAAAAAGTACTACGAATTAATATATTGTCTAAATAAAGAATGTGTTTTATTATTAATGTGGTATTGGAATCGGTATTGAGTATCGAGTCTATTCCATAGCATTGACATTGAGTTTAAAATGTTAATATCGTGATTCGTGACAATTCTAGTTTGGATTAATGTTAAAAAGCCTTCCTAGAGTTGTGTTTTGTCACACTACACTGCGTAACATCTCTGGTGGATAATATGACACTTGCTTTTCTTGAAATCTTGAAAGTACAACAGTGTTGCATGAAACTTGTCTGTTTCCATGGAGACAACCAGGTAGTGCCACCAGGGTAGGTTATAGGTCAGATCTATAGCAAGGCAACAAAGCTTACAGTAAGAACAGTGCAGAACATTCCAGTAATGTTGTAAAAAATGCTTTTCACTTTTTAACTAGTATCAAAACTAGATACTAATTTGAACAAGTACTGATATTAATAAAAAGTAAAGGAGTAAAGGAGGTTGTTTCCTCATCAAAAACAGACCTGGAGTTGTGATTTGTTTCATTCACGTTTTAACACACAAACCCTGCACATTTACGCTGAGTTCTTCTCTCAAACAGAAAACGCTCTGTCCCACCTTGTGATGTCATAATACAGTATGTGCTTCGCCGTGTTTTTAAACTCCACTAGAATCATCTGGATCATTTCAGCCCTGGAATTGCCACTTGAACCTAAAGTAAAAGGAGCTGTTCACTTGAAAACTACTGCTTTGTGACATCACAAGGTGGAACAGAGCATTTTGAACTTTTGGAGATAAGACAGGATTACTCAAACATGTGTGAATGAAAGAAAACACAACTCCAGGTATGTAACAATAACCGAAATATCGTGATGTCGTATCATCAAAATTTTCACAATAATATCGTGGACCATCACAGTATATCGAATTACAAGTCTCTTTGCTTAATTTAAGAGTTATGATGCAGCAATAGCTAAAAAAACATAGGGAACTACATAGACCATGATCCTTTGCTCCAACTCAATGCAGACTACAAGAAGAAATAACATTTCTAACCACTTTTAAGTCTTAGTTCTTTGGATTAAGTCTTGTAAAGGAGTTTTAAGAGGAAAAAGTAACATAGCAACAGTTTTAGCTGTTTAGCCTTCACAAAGTATTGCAACAGATATTGTTCCGTGAGATGTACATTGTGAAAATATCATACCGAGAGATTTGGATATTGTTACATCCCTAATCGTGAGCTTTCCCATGATATCGCAATAAATATTGTACCATGAGGTTTATACCATGACAATATCGTATCGTGAGACTTGGATATTGTTACACCTCTAGTAACACCGTTCTAACATGGCTTAAAGCTCACAAGTGTGTTTTGTGTCTCTCTTTACAAAAAAGAGAGTTTTGTGTAATACAGGACCTTTAAATGGTCTACAAAAGGAGTCATTTGATGTTTTGACCACTTCACTGGATGCACAAACCTGTCAGTGTCCCCTTTGTTTACATGAGATCCAGTTACACAGGGTTCACACAGGAGTCGGTTCTTTGAGAGCAGTAGTTTGATACAGCTCTGATAAGTCTGAAATCCAGCCAGCTCCTCCCTCAGACCAGAGACCAGAGCTGGGACAGTTTTAATGTTTAATCGATTTTCTTCCGTGACGTTTGCTTCTGTTTCACGAGGTCAACAAAGAGGCAGTAACACAGCTGCACTGTTACCCACGGCTCTAGCTCCATAAACCAGGGGCACACAGCTTTAAACACATCTATCTTACTTTTATTTGTACATGTGTTTTTTCTCTGGCCTTGGTCTTGTGCCGTCACCCACCTGTAGTGTTGTCATAATACAAAAATTTCAAACACTCTTTATTTCAACAATAGAGTGTGCTTTTTTTTTCTTTTTTTTTTTTTAAACTTATTGTTTATTAAATAATTTTTGGTGCAAGCCACATAGTTATGAAACAGCAGTAAAAATATAATACAAGTAAAATGACAATAAAGTTACAATAAGTGTAGATGCGGTTATACACATTGTCTCCTCATTTACCATTTATAATATGCACTACACATACACTGTATTGTAACACAAAAAAATCCTATAAAAGATATTCATCCATTTGAAATATAGGCTTGAACTGAAGACCATTTGTCCATGAATAAATCTGTCTTCATTTGTAACCTTGCAGTTATTTGCTCCGTTAGATACACCTCCTTTATTTTATTTTTCCACTGAGTAATTGTGGGGGGCAGTGGCCTGAGCCAGGAGACCATTATCATTTTTTTGGCAATTAAGAGTAAAATTTTCAGCAAATGAAAATTACTATTTGCTGTTATGTCATTTGGAAAAATTCCCAACAGCACAATAGATGGCTCTAATATAATTTTGATCCCCAAACAGTTTTCAATTTTGCATTGCATGTCCCTCCAAAATGTTGCCAGTTTAGGACAGTCCCAGAATATATGGGAATGATCTCCCACCAGACCTCAGCCCCTCCAATATTTACCTGAGGTTCCACCAAATTGACATGTAATAAAAGGAGTTCTAAAGAATCAAATTTTACTTTTCCATTCAAATTCTCAAATTTTAACATTAAATTTTTTACATTTTTCTTTTCTATTCTCATGTGGTTTTATATCTGTGTAATCCCTCTATAGCTTTTTTAGTATCAATACCTGTTCAAATGAGTATACTAGATTTCGTATCTATTAGTATCTGATTTTCTGTGCTTTTGACAACCCCATCAATCAAAAACATGCACAATAGCTCAACTCCTACAGCTAAGGTACTGTATTTCCCGGGCTATTAGGCGCTCTGGATTATGCAGCGCACTGTCATTAAATGGTCTATTTTCAAACTTTTTTCACAAATAAACTGCACCGGACTTTAAACGAAACACAACAGTTGGATGGGTAGGTGGTTTTGTTTGTTTGGCACGTTCACGGTGACTCTGGGCTTTGTTCAGTTGTGGCGTGTAGGGAGGGTGCTGTCTGGGACCGCTGGATTGTCGGCGTGTTCACAGTGACTCAGTTGTTCAGTTGTGGCTCAGAGTGGCACATTGCACTTGCTTTTTCGGTTCGTTCCTTCGTTCCGTTCCTCGTCGGCGTGGAGTGATGAGTGTGTCTGTGGGTGTGTTTCGCTGTGCGGTCGCTGTCTGCTCCGTGTGTGTTTGCGTGCGCTGCCGGTGGTGTGGCTTTGTAGTTTACTGAAGTTGTGCTGGGACACCTGACTGGATTCGTGTATAGGGTGCTCTAGCTTGTGGGGCGTGTGGCCATTTTTTGATGGGGTTAGAGGCTTAAGAGCACGTCTAATAGCCCGGAAAATACGGTAGTCCTGATCAAGACTAGCTCAAAATCTGGAAATGGTCCCATTGCTTTTGACAGGTTTAACCCACAGACACAGAGGATCGGTCAAATGCAGAAGACAAGTGTACAAAGTGTACCTTAACCGTAACCTTATCTGTGTCTCGTAGTAGTGTGTGTGCTGCTTTGTCATGCTCATGTACATGTTTAACCAACTGGGCGTGATCCATTTTATCAACTAGTGTGAATGTGTCTTCTTTTAGCCAAGATTATCAGTGCATCTTGTTTCCTGTTTCTTTGCACTCCCTTTCATCAGTCTTAACACATGACTTGTTTTGAAACTCACATTTATAAGATTCCTCTCTCATCTGCTAAAGGTTTACAGGGGTTTTATAACCAGGACTTGACAATAAACCCGAACAGGGGCAGATAGTGCAGTTTACAGAGCTGGTATGGTACAGGCCAGATCCTGGAGTCTATTTGCTTTGACCTGAAATAAGAAGTGGGTAATTAATGAATGCAAGAGCTATAAATATATTTAAAATCTGTTTCCGTGGGGGATTAAAGCCTTTCACTGAATGTTGTGTTTGAAATCTTCTTTTTGGACACTGTGTTACTCTTTTGGTTGGGGGTCTTCACCTGCTTGGTTCTATGGAGATGTCATTGCTCTGACTGGAATGTTCTACAGTATGTCATTAAACAGATCTACCTTACATTTATTCAATTATAGGCAGTTTTATAGCTCAAAAATTCCTAGAAAAACAGGCATTCTGACTGTGAGCAGGGTCGCCGCTCCACAGATCTGATCTGTAACTTGATCTGGTTTGGTCTCCATGGAGATAGAAAGATTTAACGCTGTACTATGAAACATTCCAGACAAAGCAATAACATCTCCACAGAGAAAAGCATTTGACTGACCCTACATCAGAAAAGTTACACAATGCACCTTTAAAATAACCGTGTTATGGGTATTAGTTAACATGTAGCTGGTTAGCCTCTGCGATGTCTTTGAACCCTTAATATCTGACTTTTTCGAAAAGTCTATGGGAAAAAATAATGTTAAATTTACCTCCAGAACCAGAGTAGGCGGTCACTTTTGAGCCTCATTCAAATTAGATACTAATTGAACAAATATTGTTCAAATACATTTAAGTAGTTAAAATGTAATTAATTACAACAGGTCAGATTCCAGTCTTCTCTCAAAAGTGAATAGTTGTGGAGTTGTTTACAATGTGCTCTCTCAACAGAATCCTACTTTTAAAAAAAATAAATTGCAAATCTAATGACAATCACAACACTTTTTCTCCAAAGTTGTGCAGCTCTACTATGTATCCTGTTTTTGGTGAATATTTGATGGAGAGCTCAGAGCAGCCGCTGGTTTTCAGTCTGGCCTTTTCACAGATGCAGAGTCTGAGTCTAATCTCTGTCAGATCTGTTTTTGGAGTCGGCGTCTGGTGCTTCGTTTCACAGTCGACAAAGAGAAAGAAAACTGAGCCTGATTGTTTAAGCAGAGAAAGAGAGAGTGAGAGAGAGGGGGAGACGGATCTTGGAAGCACAGAGCCCACTCCATCAGCATGATAAAACACAAAGAGAACTGACAACAGGCCTGTCATAATAATTACTATATCAGCTCATCGTTCAATAAATGAGAGAAAGCAATGTTATTTGGGTGCAGGATCATGTTTGCACTACTGGGAACTGTTCTTATGTTTTTGTCCGGCCCAGGTCTAAAGGGCTGCAAAAGGTCTATAGTGACAAAAATGAACAAGCTAGTCTTAGTCAGGACTTCCTTAGCTGGAGGATTTATCCTATGTGCATGTTTTGGGTAAGGATGTATTAATACAATACTGGTATCTGATATCAGCAGCGATGTCGAACATTTTGGTGGATTGGATATCAGTTCCAAGATATTGGTTCAATTGATACTTGGGTAGTCTTTACCATACTCTGTTTGTGTTAATAATGTGGTAATAAATTATGTCTTCAGTCAGTCTCTGCCCTTGTATCGGTTGATATCTGGCCAATGTATTGACCTCAGTACAGGAAAAAACAAAAAGCTGGTTCTGTACATCCCTAGTTTGGGGTTGATGGGGGGAAACCGGAAGAAACACACCCAGACACAGGGAGAACATGTGAATTACACACAGAAAGTTCTGGGTGTGGAATTCAGAACCTTGTTGCTGTGAGGCAAGAGTGTTAACAATTAGAAATGATTATTTATGTATTGATTTGTTTTTATTGTGATTTTAATATATTTCTTATTCTGTAAAACACTTTGAAATACATTGTGTACGAATTGTGCTATAAATAAATAAACTTGCCTTGCCTAGAAATAGTTCTAGTTGATCCAAATCAATATTTCCATTGTTAACTTCTTCAGACTCTTCTGCTCATTTCAGCGCTTCACTTCATATTAAGTATAAAGAGCAACCAAATATTATAGAACAATGTAAAGTAAATCTTTCCGGAAATGGTATGTTTCCCCTCAGGAGTGTGTGCGGGCATGTGCCGTGTGACTGGTGGCGTCCTGGGAATTCACTGGAGCAGTATCCTGAGTCTTGGCTGGGTCCCTTTGGCTGATGGCAGAGGTGGCGCCACCTGCTGGGAATCCTGCTGCATGTCCCCTTACTGCAGTGCTGTGTGGAGCCTGGGGGGGCGCTGTGTGCTGCTCTCCTGCACCCGGAGCAGAGGCTGTGCCATCAGCTTCCTGCCGCAGCCCGACCGGGAGTCTCTGGGACTACTGCAGCTGCTCTCCAAGGTAACACTGTTATGTTTAAAGAGGTGGTATTATGTGACTTTTGTGAGCTTCTACATTGTTTCCTCATTTAAAAAAAAACATCCCTGAAGAGGTTTGAGATGCCATCCCTGCATGTTTGAGTAATCTAGCGATCTCTCCCGGGCCCTATTCAAACTCAACGAGAAGCCTACTTCAAATTTTTTCCAAAAATATTCCAAAGCATGGTACAAAACAACATTCTACAACTTCACAAACCTGATGCGATGTGCAGTAGTTTTTTAAGATGATTCGTCTTAAAATTCCAGGATATTGATCATTTTTTTATTTACTGCTTTAGGGTCCCGTCACTCAGAGAAGAAGAAGAAGATCTCAACTAACGACAAACTCCAAAGCTCCTCCACTAGAACCTCCCAGTACAGTGAGTCATGTTGAAATACTAAATACAGGCCTATCTCTGCAGTTATTCTTGAATACTTCCTACTTTTATACTGATGTGATGATGGGTCATTGATTCAATTCCACTTTATCTCACAAACTGCAGATGGATACTTTCCAGTGATATCACGCTGAGGGTGTTTTACATGTATGTGTCTGGAGGAATGTTACCATGGACACAACACACAAGTTAGCACACACTAATGTGTTAAATGTTTTATCATTGTCTGAAAGCTCAAGAAAAAAAATACAAAATGAATTTAAACAGCACATTTTTAGGAGCCTGTGATCAATATGAGTGTTCGTGGTCCTGTTTACAAGTTTGATTTTCAACAGAAAGGTGAGAGTGACTAAGCCAACAGTTTGTAATTTTATGTGTGGGAGACTTGTTAAGTGCACAAGTCATCTCATCTGTTGTAGTTCCAACCAAGTCAACTCTTTTGGGTTAGACTAAAACAAAGCTCAGATAAAAGTCTAACACAGCTTCAGACAGATTAGTGCCAACAGTTTGAATCCGTGTATCATTCATTCATAGTTTTTTCAATATAAAACCAAAAATAAGAAAATGAAACAACTATTTTCTTCATTATTTGTCTCCAAAACCAAAATGAAAAAAAATGGATAACAATTCCTTTTTTCAGTTTTTGATTTTGTGTTTAAATGAATAATGGAAAAAACGGATAACAACCATTTCCAATTTCCATGACTTGCGATGCCAGACTTTTGCACCACATACGGACTGAAGCAGGACCGAACCAGGTTTGGTACCAGACCGGGACTGAGACCAGGACTTAGGCTGGGACCAGATCAGGACTGAGTCTAGAACTGGACTGAGACTGGGACTGAGACCGGGACTGAGACTGAGACCAGGACTGAGACCGGGACTGAGACCGGGACCGAGGCCGGGACCGAGGCCGGGACCGAGGCCGGGACCGAGGCCGGGACCGAGGCCGGGACCAGACCGGAACCAGACTGGGACTGAGATGAGGACCGTAACAGGACTGAAAATGGTTTAGTCCTGGTTTAGTCCTGGTTTAGTTCTGGTTCAGTCGGGCATCGCAGTTTAAGTTACAGAAACAGGAAACAGCCATTATTTGTTTTTTCCATTATTCTTTTAAACACAAAATCGAAAAACTTAAAAAACGAATTGTTATCTATTTTTTCATTTTGGTTTTGGAGACAAATAATGAAGAAAATAGTTGTTTATTCGTTTTCTTATTTTTGGTTTTATATTGAAAAACAAATGAACGAATTATACACAGATTAGTTAGCATCAGCTTCAAAGTATCAACAGGACTAAATATTATTGTCATTGTAATATATTTGAGTATGGGGAGTCTTAAAAGTGTACAAATCAGCCCTCATTCAGTCCAAATCAGAGTCAAGTTTGTGGAGATGCAAGCCCGTTCACTGTAAGGACACATGAAATTCTTCGATGCAATAAAAACGTGCCTGTGAGCCAGAATATTTACTTCTTCAATACTTTATGAAGATGTGAGTCTGGTTACCGGTGAATGCCCTTGAGTTCAGGTGGGTGTGATTGACAGGTGGATTAGCCAATCAGGGACACGCATGAGCTTTCCATTTCAAAAAAAGGACAAAAATATCACGGGGGACTTCTACAGAAGCAAGAAACTCTTTTAAGATTAGTTTGTAAATGATAGATGTCCAGTGAGCCCTCTGAAAAAAACAAATCTGAGTGGATATTCATGTTTGGTTCTGGCTCAAGACGCAGCATGGAGTGGGGATCAGACTGACATCTGTCTGTTTAAAAAAATAGAGAGATATCTGCCTGGATTTGCCAAGGCAAGCTTTTCTGCAGAACAGGCAGGATCTTTTGTAGTTTGCGAAGGAAATTATGCTACTCCTTTATAGGGATGTGCAAAAAATATTGAAATATTAATATATCGCATCGCTTAATGTGATGATACAGTATCAATATTGTGGGGCTGCTGTATCGATATATCACCAACAGTATTTTTTGATACATTTTGCTCAATTATTTTGTTACAGCTACAGTTTTGTGGCTTATTCAGAGGAAGAAAACTTGTTTATGCGACACATTTGACATTTTCGCTGTTTTTATGATAAAAATGTTTGTGTTTCATATTAACTCTGTATAAGAAGTGGTTTAACAAAGACTTTTAGTATCACAGCCATGATTTAGCCTTTATTTTTTTGTGAACAGTATCGAATCGATTTGAAATATATTGTATTGAGTCAAAAGCTCACTGTATCGCAATATGTATCGTATCGTGGCTTATGTATCGAGATACATATCGTATCGGCAACTTCTTAATGATATCCAGCCTTACTCCTATATATCCTATATTAAATTGCCTCTTGTGAGCTTTAAGCCATGTTAGAATGTTGTTACGTCGTCAAAAACAGACCTGGAGTTGTGTTTTGTTTCATTCACACATGTTTGAGTAAACCTTTATTATTCGTCCGTCTACATCTCTAAAGCTCAAAATGCTTTGTTCCACCTTGTGATGTCATGTAGTGGTAGTTTTCAAGTCAAGTTAACAGCTCCTTTTACCTTTGGTTCAGTACAGATGAGCAATTCCACATCTGAAATTATCCAAATTATTCTAATGACGGTGTATGGAGTCTAAGACCACAATGAAGCACTTCGTGTATTACCGCATGACATCACAAGGTGGAACACTGTTTGTTGTTTGAGAGAAGAACTCCGCCTATACATACAGGGTTTGTGTTTATGAATGAACATGTGTGAATGAAACAAAACACAACTCCAGGTCTGTTTGTGATGAGGAAACAACATTAGAACATAGATCAGAAAATGGCGTCATATGGGCCCTTTAAATAATATTAGTCTTTGCCATTTGCTAATTGCGACTCTTCAATTCTTGCATCTCTACTAAGAACACAGAGTCCAATTTGTTCTAGCCTGCACTTTTACAACGCTGATGTCAGTATTTACTTAGCCTCATTAGCCACAATTGCTGTTTGCAGAAGTCAATATCCTCATTTGTTTTGTCTCAGCAAACTCCTGACCGCGAGTCGCCAGTTTCGACTCTCGCCGCCCTCAGCACCATCACTTTAGTCCAGACCGAGAGAAACCAGAACCAGTCCAGCAACGAGTCCAGAGTCCCTGATCATAACCAGACTAACTCCACAGACCCAGAGGAGAAGTCAATAAACAGAAACGGCACAGAAGACGGCACGCCCCCTACTGGCATAACATCTCCTACTGCAGCTGGTAAGGAGACGTTAAAAGGGGACATACCTGGTGTTTGGATATTGTTACTTAAAAATATGCGTGGAATTGTCTTGGTTGAGGTTCAGACGAGACGATATATGAGATTGGGTCCACGAGACGAGATTTTAAGATGATTTCTAATATATACATTTCACATTTCAGTTTCCAGTTTTGGCCTTTTATTTATTTGATTTCATATTTTTGTTTCCATTTTATTACTGCTTTATGGAACTGTAAAAGAGAGAACTCACCAACACATCACCCTTTTTTGTCCAATCCAAATGTGAACACTTGGAAAAAAATGTCACAAGATAATTCTTCTCATGTGAGCTCGATCTTGTGGAAATTTGGTCTCACAAGATCTTGTGGCATGAGATCTTGTCCCATCCCTAATAATTCCCTAATAATTCAGATTTTTCTGACAAGCATTGAGATTTGATTTGAGATTTATGTTTTAATGGTGGGATTCTTTTACATTTTAAACTTACCCTAAAGAATTGACAAAAGCAGTGAAATAAAATAAATAAATAAAAACCTAAATGAATTGTGTAATTAACCACAACAGAACACAACATTGCAGAAAATAACACTTCACATCCTCGTCTGGAAGATTTTCTCTTCTCTTTTTGCAGTCCTTTTAAAAGTCATGTTTGTGATAGAAGATATCCTCATTGTTTAGTTTTGCATATCTCCAAAGCAACAGCTGTGATACTATCCACTTTTCAAAATCTCTCCCACTTCTCCCTGGAGCCATGTCTTGTTTCAGAATTGGGCATATTAGGCTGTTTACTTCTTTAGAGCTCAAAACATTTTGTGCACAAGCATCAAAGCAATCACATCTCCATGGAGACAAGCAGGTAATGGGCGCCCAACTAGAAAAGGTACATATTGTAACTTTAATTTCTATATAGACATTGTTGTTTGCGCTCTTACAATTTCAAATAAGATTCTACAATCACAACTGATCCTGGGTTTGTCAGTCCCTTAACCTGCAGATAGAGGACATACGTTTGTCTTCTTTCTCAGTGTATGGACAGACCACACCTCATGTGAAAGCTCAGAGCCTCCCGAATTCCCTCCCTGAGCTGCAGAGGCTGCACTAGCACTGACTCATGACTGGTGCAGGTGCTGGGATTTAGGTAGTGACCATTCAGATTAGAGAGGGATATTTTAGGTTTAAACCCACTGGATTTCACCATTGAAACTGGCAACCCAAACAAGACTCATGGGAGGCTCATTCTGCTTTCTGATTTGGAAAAACATCTTGAGAACCAAAATATGAAATTATAACAAACAACTTGGCCATGTCCAATGTTTTTGTAATTAGGAATTGTAATGATTGTAATTATTTATTCTCATCAGTACAACCTATATACATCTTAAGATGCATAGGTTAAATGCAGGAGCAAATTTTATCAGGGGAAATGTCATTATAAAATTCCTTTTATTTCCGTGTCACATGTTTAGGGTTGATTGCTCAATGTTTGTTTTCTCACATAAAGCCATGTTGTTGCGGGTGTGTGATTGTGAGAGGAATTCTTTGTGTGACTTGAAATACTTGTATGATCAGTGTTTTATGATTTTGCACTTACAGTCCTTAGGGTCAGTGTGTCAGTTAACGGCATGTTCTACAAAAGAAGAGAAGTTTGAGCAACCAACATTGCAACAGACCTTTAATTGCTAAACAAAGATTATATTTTGATGTGTGTTTTCTGTTGTAGTGCGCCCTCTGGTGGTGTCAGCGGGGAGAGCGTGGAGGTCACTCTGCCTCGAAACGAAGTCGAACTCAACGCCTACGTCGTCCCAACTCCTCCAGAAGGTAGGTTTGTTTTGAGATTGTCGTGCAGCAATATGAACTATCACAATATTGAATCCATCTTGTATGTGTCCGTCCTCTCCTGCTGTTGTGATTGGGCCCTGGTCACCTGTGGTTCAGACCAATCACAGTGCAGCTTTGTCACACCTAAAGAACTGACAAAAAGACTGAAATATGAACTGACAAGCTAATACTAGAATCACATTTCAGTGCATGTTTGTACAGATCTAAACTACAGAGTTAGCAGATTTTATGCAGAATAAGATAGAAGATTTTATTGTTTGTGGGGGAACTTATGGTACTTAAAAAAATTCTTTGAAGACTTCGTGACTTGCTATTTGCAACCATTGCAATTACTCTTCCTCCTTCTCCTCCTTCTTATTGCACAGTACCTAAATGAATTGTGTAATTAAACACAATATTGCAGAAATAACACTTTACAGCCGAATCAAAAGTGAAGCCTCCAAGAAAAGAAACATACAGACTATTTAAAAAAAAACTGTACTTGTCTGTAGTTTTCTCTTGGCTGATTTTAACTACAGTTTGATTTCTTGGCCTGTTCCGCTGTTGTGATTCTTAAAATATTCTCCATGATGTTTTGTTGTTTCTTGATTGATTTCAGCGAGAGCCATCCCAGCTTGATAAATATCTAGAAATCATTACAGAGTGATTCGCAAAATGGACATGCTTGATAATTTAACCATACTTTAACAGTGCTCCCTTATCAAAAACATGTGCGGAGTTGTATTGCGCTTCAGTCACATTTGTCTGTGTTTTTACAACTTCACCTAGTCCTTTCATTGCTCAAGCAGCATTTAAGTAGAAATAAGTCAACTTTGAAACCAACAGCTATTGTTTTTTTAAGCCATATTTACTCTGCACTGACAATAAATTTAAAAAAACGCTTCATAGATTTGTCTTATTTCAGGAACTAAGAACTATGAGTTTGCCTGGCGCCTGACCACTCACCCCACAGACTACAGCGGAGAGATGGAGGGGCAGCACAGCGAGACACTCAAACTCAGCAAGGTGCACTTTAATTCACTACATAACAATTTAGAGACACCAAACGTCACTGTAAAACTATGAAAATCTTCACATTTAAATGGCATACACGTCATATTTTTTTAATGTTTTTTTTGCTGCAGTTGACCGTTGGTTTGTATGAGTTTGAGGTGACTGTGGATGGTGAAGGAGCTCATGGAGAAGGATATGTCAACGTCACAGTCAAACCAGGTACAAAATACATACATTAACTGGATATTTAATGTGATACAGGTTATATATTTTTAAAATAATTGTATATGTATTATTATTGTAAATGTGTGTGATACACAGTGGTGCCAATTCCCTGTGGTCCCTGCTTATTTGCTTCTGAGATATTTTCATGGTGGTATGATGATGGCACTAAATGCTAAAATAAACAGATGAAAATAGAACAGTGATACAAAGCAATTATGTTGACTGAAGACTTCCCAGTCCTGATTCTTTGAAGCCTTTGCACAGATCAGAAGAGCTGTCAGGCTGCAGTCTCTGTCTCTCTCTCTGTCTCTGTCTGTCTCTTTGTCTCTGTCTCTGTCTCTCTCTCTGTGATCCCTCTCTTCACACTGGGGCTGACTCAGACACAGACGCTGCCGCTGTGATATTGATCCTGTAACTGAATCTCATGCTGTTTTGTTTGTTTCAGAGCCGAGAGTAAACAAACCTCCAGTTGCCGTGGTTTCGCCAAAGTTTCAGGAAATCTCTCTCCCCATCAGCTCCACTGTCATTGACGGCAGCCGTGAGTCCACCAGACTCTTTATTTTATAACAGAATATTGTGGCAATAAGTCAGGGCTGTGAAACTAACAAGATTTTAATCAAAATTCAGCCATGTCAAATTGTCAGTGATCAGCTTGTGTCTTTTTAATGGATAGGTCTACAGTCAATCCTCTGTCAGAAAAAGCAAAAGTGTTTTGGAGCAGATGAAAGACTTTGGAAGAAGAAACTGGACTCTTTTTTTTTTTTTGTGCTAAATCATGACACTGAGTCTGTATTGTTTAAAACAGAGAAAAAGCCGTGCCAAAAGATAACATATGATAAAAGATGCTATTTTTAGGTACAAATGAGTGGTTTGTAGATCCTTAAATAAAATAATCATATCATGTAAATTCAATTTGCAAGAATTAAAAATAATTTAAATTCTTCCTTTGCTCTTCTCTTGATTAAATTTTTTTATATACATTTTAATTGTTATTTTCTTGTTCTCAGAGAGCACAGACGATGATAAAATTGTGAAGTTTCTTTGGGAGGAGGTGAAAGGGCCTTTGAGGGACGAGAAAGTCTCTGCTGATACTTCAGTTCTGACGCTCACCAAACTCGTGCCTGGAAACTACACCTTCAGGTACAGAGGCCACATCCAAAAGCTACATCCAAAACTACACCTTTGTTCTAATGCTAATGCTACACCTAAAAAAAATGAACTACTTTTCTATGAATCCTGGATAAAGTACTGACCAGTATTATTACTTATAATGCATAAAATTAAAATTCCCTTTCTGAGTTAATGTAAGTCAAATTGCTGTTCCATTCTCAAAATGAAAATGTTTATTGTATTATCCTGTCACACTAATGAACAATGTCCCTTATGAACAATGTAACTTAATTATGTTCTCTTTCCTTGTCAGTTTGACAGTGACAGACTCAGACGGAGCCTCAAACTCCACTCAGGCCACTCTGGTGGTGAACAAAGCCATCGACTATCCCCCTGTGGCTAACGCTGGGCCCAACCAGGTCTGAACCATCTCTTATAGTGCTCATAGTAGTACATCTGCTTAGGCTTATCACAGTTATTACTACATCGACTGTATGGAACTAGATGGAACAATACCTTTTGGGGGTTAATATTCATTGTGGGTACTAAGTATTAATGGGAAAATTCATATTTTTCTGTTCTTCTATGATTAGATTTGGTCTGTAGAAGGTTGAATGATGCATTATAGATACAAAATAACTGCTTTCATTCTGCTGTTTATTTATTTATTGCAGTTTGTTTTTTTTAACCATATTATACATTTAAAATAGTTTTTGGGAATAAGTCAGCTTCAGGGTTACTGTGTCTGTGACATAAATTAGTTTCAGTAATATGTCTATATTTTCTTCAGCAATATATCGTACTTTAAAATGTATTATCATGACAGATCTACATCTCCTGTTTGTACTGGCCATATTTAGACATTTTTTCAAGGTATTTTACTGTGACTTTCCTTCTCTACTTTGAGATGTTATTACTTTTCTTGGAATGTTCCACTGTATGGCATTATTAATGTTGCATTTACTCAAGTAGAAGAGTTTCTAGCAGTCCTACTCTGACACTGCCCTTTGTACAAACATATGTGTACTTTCTGAATGAAATATTTCTCTGTCCAGGTGATCACACTGCCTAAAAACTCCATCACTCTTTATGGAAACCACAGCATGGACGACCACGACTCTATCTCCTACGAGTGGTCCTTGAGCCCAGAGAGCAAAGACAAGGTGGTGGAGATGCAGGTGAGATATTATATCATATTATGGCTTAAGAAGAACTGTGGCAGAGTGGTTAGTCCATCTGACTCACAGTGCAAGGTTCAATTCCTAGATCAGGTGGAACAAGAGATGCATTAATCCATTCAAACAATAGCCTTGTAACGATTTCTGAAAAACTGGCACAAAGTTCAATGTTTTCTTGCTCAGTATAAATGAATAAGTGCTTTTTTTTCAATACAGCCTTCGAAATGGTTACTATTATTCAACTACAAAGACGTAATTGTTCTCAGTTGAAAGGACATTAAGCCATAAGATTAAATGAACAATTCTGTGTAGCCAATCCCAAACAAAAATGACAAGGCTCAGTATCTGTAAATCATACATTTGAATATCTCTTTCTAAAATAATGAATCTCCAATAGAATTATATAGACCCCTGCCCTCCATTTGAAATTCTAACATCAAATTCTGCAATGTAAACGCACCCAAAGTAAAATACTAGTACCAAAATCAAAACATGAGAAATTAAACAAAACACAACTTTGACAAGGAAACAACAATATAAAATAGCTGAAAGTACAAAAAAAGTGTAGTAGAGTAGTGTAGTATAAGACCTGATTTTGTATTTGGTTTTGTTGTTGTCTTTAGGGAGTTAGGACACCATTCCTCCAGGTGTCTTCGATGCAGGAGGGAGACTACACCTTTAAACTCACTGTAACCGACTCCTCAGGTCAACAAGACTCGGCCCAAGTCACTGTCATTGTCCAACCAGGTAACAATATGTCCTCCTTGTGTTACTTTGTCAGAGTGCGTATCCTGTCTCCTCCTCTCAGTAAGGAGGTTGTAGGTTAGATTCCTGAGCTCACCTTCATCTTACAAAGCCCCATAGTTGTGAATACATTTTCTCGTTTTTATTAGGTAATAGTTTATCATGATTAAAAAGAGTACACAATAATCTACTTCATATAATTGTGATAATCATCATTATGTCACCAGGATGTGCTGAAAAAAGAAGAGCTCTTCTATATCATTGTTGCTACAATGAAGTACAATTCTATAATTATACAATTATGGAACCTATTCATAATATTACAATTAATTCATAATTATTCATATCCACATACATTTTTAAAGGGTCAGCAATTTTAATAATTATCATGATATAATTGTCAATCACAATTATTTTGGCCATGATAATCATGACTGTAAATTTCAATATTGTATGCCTAGTGTTAACAGATCTTGGCCATAGACTCAGTTCTATAGAAGACAGGGAGACATTTTAGCATAAAGTTATTTTTCCTTTGCTGCAATATCTTAAAATGCACATTGTGTAAAATAATGGAAGAAAACAAAATGCCAAATGTTGACAGTTTGTTTTCTTTTTAACTGCTTCAAAAGGTCAATGCTAATTATTACAAAGAGTGAAAACAGTCGGCATTCGGAACAGTATTTCAAACATGCAGTTTTAAAGGTCCCACACGGTTCATTTTGCAAGCTTTTAAAACCTCTTTTCAGACTTGGTGTTTCCTGTTCCTGACTTTAAATAATGTATAAATCTCCTTGGCAACATGGTTGGACAGTCACATTTAATTGACATTTAACATCTAATTGTCAAGGATCAGCTTTAATGGAGAGCTCTGCATCCAGTCCTCTGTCAGTGAAAGCGTGGGTTTGGAGCAGACAGAAGACTTTGGTGGACCAGCTGTCTACTCATCTCCAGTATGTTTAATGTTGCTGCTGTATTTTTCCTACAGAAAACAACAAGGCTCCTGTAGCAGACGCTGGTCCAGAGAAGGAGCTGACTTTACCTGTGGAGAAGACCAGTCTGGACGGAAGCAAGAGCTCTGATGACCAGAAGATCGCAACCTACCTGTGGAAGCAGACCAAGTATGTACAAGGAATATACGTTTGAGTCATCACAAATTTCTTTACGTTTGAAAAATATGTTTGAGATATCACAAATCTGTTCTACAAAGATTCAGTTCATGTAATTAAATTATTTCACTTCCATTAAGCAGTTGCCTATACTGTAATTGTTTTAAGTCTCTAACCACCAGAACTCCAGTACTGTAAAATACTGTATATGTATTATAGTTGATTAATATTCTTCTGCAATGCCCCTGTTTTTATATATAAAGCCAAATACATTCTGAAGACCTGAGAAAACATTAATAATGAGACTTTCTCTTTGGGCTCGTTCATGTTTTTGTTTGTATCATTTGACTCTCTCTCTCTCTGCAGGGGTCCAAATGAGGTGAGGATAGAGAACGCAGATGCCGCTGTTGCCACGGTGTCGGGTCTGGAGCAGGGCACATATGAGTTCACTCTGACAGTGACAGACGAGAGGAAACTTCAGAGCAGCGACACAGTGAGCGTCATCGTCAGAGAAGGTACAACTTATCCATAAAAAACACTTTGATTTCAGTCCGTGTTATGATTTTGAGTTTTGTCATCAAATTGATATTTTTATCTCCAAAAGCCAAAATATTTTTGGGAAATTTACTTTGAAAACCAAGCAGTGGGTGGTCACTGGGCGGTCCTTAAACATGTGTCAGTTGCACCATACCAAATGCTTTGCCTGTAAATTTGCAACTAACTTTCAGTAACTAAAACTTAAATGAATTAGATGTCAAATCTGTTACCAAAACTAACCTCAAAACTGGGATTAAAGTAAATTATAAGGCCATCTAGTGGCAGCGGTCTCAATACACCATGAAAAAAAAAATATCCATTTAACAAACGTAACTGGGATGCTAATATAAGCACACTGTTAGAAGTTATGAGGCTCAAAGAAAGAGGACCTCGTACTCTAGGGATGTCAAACCCGATATCAGCTGATACTAGGGCACAGACTGAAAACATTATTTACAGTGTATGGCTAAATATTACCTAATGTTTTTTATAAGTGGTATTTATCATTTAAAGTAACTATAAAACATCTTTGAAAACATACAAGTTCAATAATATGATGTGTTTTGTTCCAAGATCAATCAGTAAATTATAGATATCGATTGAAACAATATCGAATACCAGTATGGTATCAGCACACTAACATGTCTGAATTCTTTTTCTCCTGGTGCAGAGGTGGACCAGCCCCCTAAGGCCCGTGTCCTGCCCAGCTCTGTGGTGTCTCTGCCCCAGAGCACGGCCTCTTTAGACGGATCTCACTCCACTGACGATAAGGGAGGAGTCAGCTACATGTGGAGCAGAGACGAGAGCAGTCCAGCAGCCGGGGTGAGGCAGACATGCATTCATGAGTCAGGGATTATTTTTAAATCAGTCCATTAGTCACATGATTATTTCTGTTGTACACTGATAATTTTTAGATTCATTTTTAACCAAATAAAGGTTGAAATATGGTGATGACTGAAGGCTTCTAAATAGAGAATATTTACAAAAAAAGTGTATTATTAACAATCATAAATAGTTTATTCTTTGAATCACATTATGATTATAATATTAAAATAAGATTATGAATATATTTTATAGTCTACTGTGCAAGGTTATTTGATTTATCGTTGCAGCCATGTACAATTTAAGTTAATTTAATAAATTTATGATTAAGGAGCTACATAAGAAATGGTGACAAAATTCATTATATGAACATTCAGTTCTGATTGAGTATATTAGATCAGCTGTGTAAGGAAATGTTGACTCAGCAATATTTTTTCATCCTTGATCTTAACATTTGTGTTGTTGTTTTAGGACGTGCTGAATGGCTCTGACCACCAGGCGGTGTTGTTCCTGGGTAACCTGGTCCCGGGCTCCTACAGCTTCACTCTGACAGTGACTGACTCTAAAGGACAGAGCAGCAAAGCTCACGGCCGAGTTGATGTCAAACCTGGTAAAGGAATACACCTGTAATTCTAGTACAGTTATAGTGTTCTGGGACAAACTGGATGAAGTGAATCTAAACAGAAAATGTACAGTTTGCAAAGGCACTGAGCAAATGCCACAATGACGACCTCTTTAATCCTCCTGATTTTAAAGACACCTTTTATAACTTTTAAAACAAAGCAAAGTTAAGTGATAAGTGAAGTGTCCATATTGTGAGCAGGCTTGCATCTCCACAAACATGACTCTTATTTGGCTTAGAGAAAGGCTTCCTCCTCTTCCTCCTCCTCTTACCTGTACTGTTTCCTCTGTAGATGCATTTGAACGTGACTTGGTGGAGCTGGTATTGGAGGTCCCAGTCTCGGCTGTGTCTCAGAGGCAAAGGGACATGCTCCTGAGGCAGGTCGGTGTCTTATTGGGCATCCTGGACAGTGACATCATGGTCCGCAGCATCAGCGCCTTCAACGAGCACAGGTAACATTTACCTGTCAACTGTCAGGTAACACATCTAAACACTGTCGACTGTCAGGTAATACGTCTAAACACTATAAGGAGGTAACAATTTTAAGTCTGCTTCTTTTACTCCAGTTTAAATGTGGGAAAATGTGGGATTCTCACACCATGGAACAAGGTCGAACCCATCTGTTGCTCTCACAAACCCTTCGGCAGATTAATTTCCACATCTAGAAGCAAATCTCAACCAATCAGACTATTGCTTTTGTTGCCAATACCAATTTTTGACAATAAATATGAATACTTTATTATAAGATACAGACTGCACACAGTGGTCTAATTTAACATAATCTTTGAGGAAAACACAAAATATAATTACCCCAGCTGTAACAAAATAGTTTACAAGTGTACATTTGCCTCTAATTTTACAAATCAAAGTATTGCCAATAATTAAAAAACACACACAAACTGGGAATGTGCTTTGGTAATTTTGTGCAAACATATTACAAAATATAATAATACAGACAGCTGCAAAACATAATAGCCATTCACTGTAAAATTATTTAAAGATGTGTTGTAATCCATTTTCCAGTACTCGTCTGGTCTTCTTGGTGTCTGGAGGTCCTGGGCGCCCCCCTCTGGCCGGACACAGCGTTGCACTGGGTCTCAGAAACAAACTCAGGAAACAGAAGAATGACTTCCTCATCTATAAGGCCAGACGAGTGGACACAGTCAGTGAGTAAACCTTTCAGAATAAATAACATGTTGAGACATTAAACTTTATTTCCCTCTTTACTTTTAACAAATGTGATTTTGTTCGTTTATCACGCTCTATCCTGCCTCATATTCGGCTAAACTCTCGTGTGTTTTGGATTGTCCCTTTTGAAGGAGGTCCATACATTTATAATCTCTCTGTGTCGCCCCCTGTAGTCTGTCAGCTGAACTGCTCTGGCCATGGGGACTGCGACTCGTTCACGCGGCGCTGTGTGTGTCAGCCATTTTGGATGGAGGACTTCATCAGAGCTCAGTTTGGAGACCAGGAGAGCAACTGTGGTACGGCCAGGAATCCAATTATACAACTATTACTTATGTACAGTATGATCATATTACTTCAGTGACTTTTTTAAAGGAAATGTGTTCCTAATTGGGTGCACTATTTGGCTACTCTACTTCCCACTTGTATAATATCAGGGAAAAATGACTCTATGACAGTTTGCTTCTCGCTAGGACCATTGCAACCTGCTGTTGTGTCTTTAGGCATGACACTTCACCCACCTTGTCTATATATGAGTGTGGTGTGTGAGTGAGGCTACGTCCAGAATGCAGGGCTTAATGGTCAATTCAAATTTTTTTGTGAAATCTGATTTTTTTTACAAGGTTGTTCATATTTCCAATTAAACACAACTTGTTGTGATCTCCAGTGTGAACTTTAAACGCTCCAAAAGTGTCCTGCATGCACACTGGAGGACACGACGACATCACACACAGCGAGTGCGCTCAGTCTTTACAGAAGTCGCCTAAACACTGGGCTTGTCTCTCAAAATACAATTCAGTTCGTGGTAGTCGAGTCTTTAGTCTCCTTGTATTTGGCTCGCAGGCTCTTTATTTTTCATTGATATTGGAGCCAGGACCGTCTGTAGCCGTGCTCGGACATTTCTTTCCATTTCAAAAACCGCGCAGTTCTGATAAGAGTCCTCCAATTTGGCCTGAATACAGCGATCCCCCCACATATTAATAAACTCTCTAACCGTGTTTTTTCTTGACAAGACTCTGAGCCTGACGTGTAGGTGGGATGAGTGTGACCTGGCCATTCAGACTGAAGTCACATGTCAAAAGATCAGATATGTATTGTTTTAGGAGCACATATCCAAGTGGCCTGGGTCATATTTGAAAAAAATCATATCTGTGTCATTAAAAGATCAAATACAGGAGCATGGGGTGAAACTGGATTTGAGTCACTTCAGGCTGCAGTCTGTACGTAGCCTAAATGATTGTGGTTGAAATTATCAAGTTTGTGTATTTACCTTTTGGATATTTCATGACAAAATACAATGTGATACAATGTGATAGGGAAGAGAGAGTATGACATTTACATTCTATAATCTGGAAACCATCACCACTTGTATAAAATATGAAATAGAATAAATGAAAATGCATTTTGATGTGTTTTCAGATTGGAGTGTGCTGTACGTGACAATAGCCTCCTTCCTGATTCTGGTGGGAGTGGGGACCCTGATCTGGGGAATGGTCTGCTGCTGTAACAAGTCAGTTTTCTAGTGGTGATGTTTTTAATATAATTCATGTGGAGTTTTTAATGTATTTCATTTGATGGTTTCTGTTTCAAAGGAGGAAGAGTAAAGTGCGCAGAAGTAAAAGTCGATATAAAATTTTAGAAGAGGAGGAACATGACAGTTTGGAGCTGCATCCTCCCAGAGCAGGTAACACACACACACACGTACACACGTGTATATTAAAGGAGACAGCTTATGCAAATGGACTTTTCTGAGCTACGTTATAGCTGTTTCTTTCTCATTTACCCTTTAAAGTTGTATTTTGAGTGATTCATGCATGCAGTCTTTATTCTTCTGTATTCAAAGCGTCATTGCTCTGATCTAACCCCGATTTCACCACCACTAGTTCACACACTGATTTGTACTTACTTTGTTCTCCAATTTTTTACATGATACACTTAGGATTTGGTCATTTGGTACAAATGAAAAAAAAAATCCACTGGTCACTGGCTTGATCTTTAGGTATTAAGGATATGCGTGTGACGTGGCAGTCGTGTGACTTAATGTTTTGGCAGCCATACTGGAGGTCAAGGTTGGGGTTGATCCGGAAGGTGATTTTGTTTCACTACAATATAATCATGGCTACAGTGTAAACAACATAAAACGCTCCAAAATTTGCAGCTCATTAGATCAGTCATTAGGAAGATATAAAGCTAAAGTCCTCCTGCTGGGTTGTGGAAGTCTAATTTTGACAGAGCGCTTTGTCAGTCTGATCAACACTTACTCCAATACCCAGATATTTTTAACTACTTAATTCATTCTACATCGTCCTACACCAACCATGAACTAAAACGTTACAAGGAGTTAGAGGATTATAAATATTTTATAACGGGATGCGAGAGCTCTTTGTTGATGATGACTGTAGAATGGGGGTCAAAATCAGAACCGTAGCTATCCTGGAAATTGAAGAGGGGTTCCGTGCCAGCAAAAGTGAGGACTGCACAGCGCATGCTTCTTATTTTATCACATACAAATACTACACGTTGTTTCAGATAGATAGTTTGACCTCCAATATAGCGGCATAAACAACAGGTTGCGTTTCTGTGATGCAGACGCAAAATCTTGTGATGAAGTTTACGGCGACATCAGTAAAAATCTGTGGACTTTTGTTAAGTTGTTTTATATGAATATTGTGATTTTAAATGTCAATTCTAACTAAATTCTAACATAATAATCCACGGGTGTCATAGATTATAACTACTGTATATAACAGACAGAAGCACAATAGGTCTTCTTTTAAAATGAAATAGTAAATGTCCCTAATCATTGCAAGACATTTATTTTACACTAATATTGTTGAAATGTTGTGTTTTGTTTTGTTTTTTTAAATCCATTTTTTTCCCCCCTTCCAGGTCGTCTGAAGGGAGTAGCGGCGCCCACCTCGTCCGCTCTGATGCACTCGGATTCGGACATGGACAGCGACGAGGCCCCTGACCCCTGGACCAACGGAGACCAGGAGCGCGGGAAACTGCTCCGTCCTCAGAACGGCTCCCTGCGAAACGGCCAAGGTCCCGCCAGAGCCAAGAAACAACGTGAAGAGCTGCTATAGCGAGAGGGCAGAGGGTAGCTCCAATCTGCCCTCGCAAACAGACTCTACCTTACGTGGAAAAAAACATGCTGGAATCACTTCATATGTTTACATGAAGAAGAGGAATTACAAAATGACCGGCGCTGTGTGCTTAAACACAGCAAAACAAGAACGATAAGAGCTTAAAATCACTTGAATTTTGAATCTGGATTTGAAAAGCTTTGACTAGTTTAGATTTATTTAATATTGTAATTTTTTTTATATATTTCTAACTGGTATTATTTTTTATTTCTAGCTAAATTAATGACCTGCAGATTAAAAAATTTGCAACTCAAATTAGGATATATAGTTAGTTTTCAGATAGGTGGCCCACCTGCTTGTCTCCATGGAGATGTTATCGCTTGTGCTGGAGTATTCCACAGTATGGAATTAAACTTGCATATTCAATTACAGGTGTTTCTAGTGCTTACCTTGAATACCTTGAAAAAAAAACTGTGAGCGTGAGGTGAGCTCGTCTCTCCACAGATTGGACCTGTAACTCAGTCCTGTCTCCATGGAGATAGATTGATTTGTTTATTTCAGTCACATGTATATTGGGACCGAAAAGGTTTAGGCTGAAGCTTATGCTCAGAGATGTAAGTTTAATGCTATACTGTAGAACATTTATGGAGTAAAAAAACTTTCAGAAATATTCATGTGCATAGGATAGAAATCTGTGCATATTTGGGAAATCTGTGCATATTTGGCTGTAGTTGAGCATAAAATAAATATTTTATATGAGTCCAGTCGTATATAAAATGTATAGCATGTATTTTATCCATCAGAATATGAATTGAAAAGTTACATCAAGAATTACAATCACGAATAAAAATATACAATTGCGCTTTCTTCAGTACGAATACGAATTCATAGACACGACTCAACTGTCAAAAATACAACATCACTTCAGAGGTATTATTTACTGAACAGAAGAAACATCGACTTTTGCACCGCATACGAATTGAACCAGGACTCAACCAGGACTGATTCCAGGACTGAACTTAAACTAAAACAGGACTAAACCAGAACAGATCTTTGCTCAGTAAATAATGCCTGTGAAGTGATGACATATTTTTGACCGTAAAGTCGCATCTGTGAATTCATGTTCGTACTGAAGAAAGTGTAATCGTACATTTTGATTTCTTGATTTTAATTCTTGATGTCGTAACTTTTCAATTTGTATTCTGATAGATACAATACACACAATACACTACAATTACATTACAGACAAATATGCACAGATTTCTCAAATATGCATGGACTTCTATCCTATGCACACAAACATTTCTGAAAGCTTTCCTACCCTATAGACATCACACCTGAAAAGTTGCATATTACACTTTTAAGAAAGCAGTTAGAAATTAGACATTGGACAAAATTTTGACTTTATACTAAATAAATGTAAACTAGTCAAACTAACTTAAGATTAATATTCTGAATTTAAGTCATTTTGCAGTGAAAGGACACCTACTTAAAAAGCTGCGTTGGTCTATATCACAGCATCGTTTTGCATGGAAACCACAGCCCCTCCCTGAGCCAGACCTTTTACTAGAATTATTGAAAAACTCTTTGAATGTACTTCGGGACTCCTTTTGCGCCGGCACATACTGGTGAGTTAAGACACTAGCCCGAGAAATGAAGAGATTTAAGAAACGTTTTTAATATTTAACAAGAAATGACACTTTGCCGCAAAATCACCGGACGTTACCGATCACTGCCATGGAGAATATTTTGGAATAACCGGATAAAACGTAACAAAAGACGACAAGAAAACGCATGCACGGAGAAACAAAACTGATGGAAATTTTTAGGAAATTTTTGATACAGGTTAAAAGCATGTTTGTTGTGAGCGAATGAGTGAAGTTTTTATGAGTGTGTTGTCAAAGCTGAACAGTCTGGCTCTAGATTTTCACTGTGGCTTCAATCAGATGATTTAAATGATTTTGGACATCTCAATTTTACATTTAAATATTAGATTTTTTGTGAATTCATGAAAAGTCTCTCACAGTTGACTTAGGGAAAAAAAGAGGTTAAAAATCTGAACCTACTTTTAATACTGGATAATTAGTTAAATGCAACAATCAAACTATTATATTATACTATTTTAAGAATTAACAAGACTCTTTTATAGAGCCCGACCGATATATCGGTTGGCCGATATTATCGGCTGATATGGGCACCTCGAGGCATATCGGCTATCGGCCGATATGCTTGCTGATAGGGGCCGATATTTCACGTGGGCATGTGATACGTCGTTAAAAATCTTAGACTCTCTACATTCTGTTCATTTAATCCAATTTACAGACAGATAAATGTCCTAATATGTGGCTCCACATCAGTATTTATCTACGGAGTCATTTATCCGTGCGTGTGTCCATATTGTCCCTGAACACACCATAGAGTCGCGTCACTCACGTGTGTTTGTTTACACCTGCAGACACAGATCCAAACACTGAGATTATATTCTTTTTACGGACAATCGGTTTGAGTCTGAATTAAAAGGACATTTATTAGTGCAGACTTGTGATGTGAGAGGAACCTGTATGAGCGGTGAGTGTTGGAAATATGTCGACTTTGAAGCTAGTTTTAGTCATTTGTTATGGGTTAGCTGCTGTAGCTCCCGCACATAAACAGACTGTTTTCTATTGGTCTGTTCTAAAGTGACTACACTGGCCGTATATTTGTTACTGGACCTGCACTGATATGTAAATGAGCTGTGAACAGACGTGTGAATTATGACATTTGCGCATATAATTAATTACCGCGGCGCGCAGCATTTACGGCTAAAGGCTAATAGCGCTAGTTTCTTTACTAGTTATGGGTCCGTCGCGAACGAAATGACTCTTCGAGCCGGTTCTTTGAAGCGAACGACGGGAGCCTGATCCTTATTGGGAGCCGTGTTTTCTCTCTCACACTTTTTTTCTGTTCACGCCGCGTGCAGACTCGTGGTTTGACAGCGGCAGCGGCTAAAAACGAAACTTTGAGAAATTTGCGTGTACATAGGATTAAAAAAAACAAAAAAACGAGCATATTTGGCTGTAGTTTAGCATAAAATAAATAAGTCCCGGTTTAGTCCTTTTTCAGTCCTGGTTTAGACCTGGTTCAGTCCTGCTTCAGTCCTGCTTTAGACGTGCTTTAGTCCTGCTTGCAACAAAACAATCTGAAGAGCCATTTGGGAGCCAAAAGAATCAGCAGCTTTTAGTGAGCCGAGCCAAAAGAGCCGGTTCTCTAAAAAGAACTGGAATACCCATCACTAGTGTCTAGAATGTGATGCAAAAATGCCATTAAGCCAACCTACTGTCTGGAAATATGATGTAAAGAGGCAGAATAACAATAAATGTTTCCTAAATAAACCCAATTTAAAATCCATCAGAGCCAAACCTAAGTTTTTTAAACAATTCAATATTTACAGTGAATTTTAACATCACTAAATATATCGGCGATTATATCGGCTATCGGCAGCGCCAACTCCCATTATATCGGTTTCATATTGGCCACAGCAATATCCATATCGGTCGGGCTCTACTCTTTTACTAGAATCAAAGGAAATGTATGTAATATTATAAAGGTGCACAGTGTAACTTTACTTTTCTATTCTATCTAGCATTCATTTCAGCCTGGGTGTTTTTATTGCTCAAAAACACCTGGAAAAACGTGGATTCTTACTGTGAGCAGAGTCACCACTCCACAGATCTGACCTGTAACATGACCATAGTTACACAGAGCCGCCATAAAAGTTACAACATCTACTTCTATTACTACTTAAGCACAGTGAAGTCTACAGCCAGATCGTTGATACTTTTGACACGTGTGTTTTTAGTTTCATCGCATCGCTCGTGTTTTTGGATTTTCAAGAAATTACTACGTTAAAAATATTCTATATTTATGAGCCTAATTGTCGGATTCTACACTGGATTCTACACTGAAGTGAATTACGCTCAAATCACCTGGGAAACACGGGACATGCCTCTCATCTCTGTAACCACGGCAACATGGACATTTTATACTACCTATTTTTATTTCATGTCAAATTTTCATCTATCATTTTGCTTTTTCCTTCAAATAACTATACTGAGCCATATTTTTATTTGGAATTTGAAAAACATTTTTATTAATTTACCATAGAGATACATTATTATGACATTATTTACATACTTGATACAGTTTGTAGTTAAAAATACGCTTTTGACGAATAAGGAACAAAAACCAAACTAGAAATCGCCGCTGAAGTTTCTGGAAGTGACATCATAACACTGGGAGTTTATTTATAAGTACGTTTTTCTATTAACTACCTTTTAAAATCTTTAAGCGATGTTCTACTCTAGTTTCCTCGTAAAACCATACCCGGAGTTTTGTCTAATTCACAAATGTTTGAGTAATTCTGCAAATTTGATCTATCTCCATCCTCTCCAAAGCTCAAAACACACTCGCACCTCATGATGTCACCCAGTAGAGATCTAGAAATTGTAAATGATAAAATTATGCATTATTTAAGTTTTATTGCATTTTGGTTGCTGTGGTTTTTATTTCATTTATTTAACTTTTAGATTTTTTTTCTTCAGAAGAGAAACCTATTATATTACCTATATCTAGAATTGACCTAAACCTCGTAAATAGTGAATAAATTGTAAAAATGGTTGTAGGCTGTCAAAACAGGATATATTTAGTATGTGAATAGGGCTGCACAGTGAATCCATGTTTATTAGTGATTATAAATATCGCTCCAATCATTTCAGAATCAAAAGAACAATAGTTTAAATACGTTTGTGAGTTAAATTTGCGTCTGTTCTGTCCTTCAAAAACTGGAGCAAAGCAGCTGGTCTTATCTATATGTTTTTAAAACATGGACTTCAAAACATTTCTAGTATATAAGTAAGTGTGGTCTCCCTCTACAGGTTCAGTAAATTATAGTAAAATTGCACTTTTTGCGTAAAATGATGGAACTGAGGATTAAAATGATGGAATTGTGACCTGAAACTGTGCTAATCCAAAAAACAAATTATTTCTCTGCAAACACCCCTACAACTTCATCTGTAAAATACTACTGCTACTACTAGTGCTACTACTACTACTACTGCTACAACTACTAGTGCTGCTACTACTACAAATAGAACTACTACTACTGCGACTACTACTACTATTAGTGTTATTATTAGTGCAACTACTACTGCAAATAGTACTACTCCTAATGCAACTACTACTGCTACTACTAAAATACTACAACTACAACTACTGCAACTCCTGCTATACAAATAAGGGAAGATTGTTTTTTTGTTTTTTTTCTGTTGAATGTTTGAACTCACCTCTTGTGAATGTTGATGGGAAACAGGATGAGTTCATCTCATGTTTGTTTTCAATTGTTTTTGTTTTTAATTATCTCTTCTTAAATCTCAGCCTGTTTAAGAAGAAAAGCTGGTTCTGTGTAGGAATTTTGGCTCATTTTGAAGACTTCCATGTTTGGTGGATCTTACAGCTTAAATTCTTTGATTCATTCACAATCACTGCTGCTATTATGTTTAGCTTATTAAAATAGTTTAGCTCAGCTAAAAAATCTAATTAATGCAAAAGTCTCTTACTTAATGTCTTTTGTTGAAGATCATGTGTGTTTTGTCGACTTGTGTGGGTCAAATCAAGTGCACCAAAGTGCCAATGTGAAAACAACAAAAGCGTATTATTCTTCCACTGTCTTTGCACATCATGTCAATGAAGAAGAGGAAATCTATAAACCCCACGACTGTAGAATCACTCTTCCGTGCTGCACTTTCACCAACATTTGTGTGAGATTTTGAAAAATGAAAACCACACATTTTGTACCTAAATAATGAAACAGCTGTTACACAAATGAAGAATCTGACACTGAGCTGTGATTGGGGTGATTTGAAGTGTTTTTAAAGATTGTTTTTGTTGAAACTAAAACTGGAAATGTATAAATAAAGTTGTCAAATTGTTATTAACGACTTTTCCTGTTTTTCAATGCAGACAGACGACACAGACTAACACACATCTAACACAATTCTGCACCTTTAAGCTCACCGTTACTCACAGTTTAGATTTACACAGTTAAAGTTGTCCAAGTGTCTTGCCCAACAGCCGCTCCTTCCCTCTTCTCACTCTCATGCTCTTTCTCCTCCTTCTCTTTACCTCTATCCTCTCTCTCCTAACCTTTTCTCCCCCACCCTCTATTTTTCTCTCCCTCCTCCAATGTTTCTCTTTCAATTTCTCCCTCCCTCTCCTGTCCCCTTCGTTCCCTTCCTCACCCTCACTTCCTCTCTCTCCTTTCCCTCTCACCCCTTTCTCTCTCCCTTTTCTGCCCTTTCTCCTTTCTCTCTCTCCCTTTTTCTTTCCCTCTCTCCTTCCCTTCTTCCCTCCAATCTCTAAATATTACTCACTTTTTAGCTAAAACAATTCTGTCATTTATTTAATTAGTTTCTTTAATTCATAAACACAAACTCTAGACCTTTTTAAAATGGTATTGACACTTTGCGGCGGATGTCATCAACATTCCTTGGCGTGTGATGTTAGCTGGAGGCACTGCTCTGTCTGAAGGTCTTTGGACTTTAATCTGAGCTTTATTTTAAGAACAATCTGATCATAGGTAATTGACCTTGACCTGGAATTGCAACAGGTGAGCTCATTTCCGCTGTTCAACAAGTTTCAGACGCGTATTTACTGCCCCAGCATGATATCACTGTCAAGTATCTGTTGGCTGTTTATGGATTACAGAATGAGACGACGTCATACTCAGATGGAGGGCAAGAGTCAGTTTTCCGTGTTGATTACTTTGCACTTCGCCATGAAATACCAAAAAAGGTAAAGTCACAAACCTGATCATTTATTAAGGACAAGAGCCAAGAACTCACTCTATTACAACATCTGCATTTTAACTCTATTCATTTTAGTATTCATTTTTTATTTATTTATTTTTTCATCAAATTTATTGCATATACACATACAAATGATTATGAACAAATTATTCTAAACATACAAGAAACTAGATAAATAATCTACACAAAGATTACAAGACATACAGGTAGTTCAATGATTCAGATTGATAATTTCACTTCTTTATATTAGAAAACAAAACATACATTAGAAAACATTCCAAATAAATGTGTTAACTACATGTTATCAATTATAAAATGTAGTTACTGCATTTATTTGGAAGATTTTCAAATGATTAAAAATAATATTGCAGATTGCATTTGATTTAAAGGTATTAGGATTGGTATTATTCCACTTACAACACGATAATTGTTCTGCTGTGTGTAAAAGAGACACCAGCACCTTCATTGTCTGAGGAAGTTTTCCTTTTACCATGTAGACAGAACCATGATGACACTGTTCTATAAAACATTTATTTAATCAGTTTGAACTTTTTCATTGGTCTCATGATTTAGGATCATTTCTGCTAAAAACAAGCACTCCCTGAATCAGTTGGGTAAATGGGTGAGTAAGGTGACTGTTCATCCTCAGAGCCGCCTAGACTCCCTGCACTCAAGACAGTAAACAGAGAATGTCCCAGAGTATTTCAAAAGACGTGCAACATTCACTAAATTGAGAGTTTCAGCTGCTTCCTCTGGTCAGATGCTTTTAGTCCCAAGACCTAGAACGAATCATTTTAAAAGGAGCTTCATTCCAGCCGCTATCGTACTTATGAATAAATTGTAATCTATTTATCAATTTTAGTAGGTTTGTCTTGGAGAAATCGTGTGTTTTTTATATATTTAATATTTATTGTGATTTAAGTGAAGCGTGATGAATGAATTTAACTAATTGATGATGGAACAAACCATTCTGCTTTGAAGCACTGTAACACTTTATTTTGTAACTGTGTTTATTAATGATGATGTGGATGAGTGAAATGTAGGACCAGCCTCTCAAATCTGGGAAACAAATTTACCTACGGGTACAAATAAAGCAACCTAACCTAAGAATGAATCAAATATTTTCCACATAAAATGAGAAAATTTTGAATCAATATAAAAATAATCTGATAAAATATCCCTTTTCCCAAGCTTAGTTCCCGCACTATACAAAGATTTAAAAAGGTCTTTCAATTCATCTGTCTGCCAATATTATTGGCCTATAGATGTTGTGATGTCATCTAAAAAAGAGCCTCACTAATAATACTGTAGTTTTGTATTGTGGATTTCTATTTAGCAGATCCAGATGCTTTTAAAACATGCTCAAACAAAACTGAACAATGGCACTGCTCATTAGGCCGTAACAGATCCACTGCTTTACCGTTTGCTTTTGTTAATGATTAAGTGTACGTTAAACAGAAGCAATACTTCATAGTCAACCACGGCTATAAAAATCACAATGGATACATACAAATAATTCATGCTGCTACTACTGCTGCTATTACTGCTGCTGCTTCTACTACTCAGAATTAGAAATGTTTATCTGTATATGAAGTATATGACTATTGTACGTTTATTTATCAAAGCTCAATTAGTAAATGAATCCATCCATTTTCCACTTATCCGGGGCCTGGTCGCAGGGGCAGGAGTCTAAGCAGGGACTCCCAGACTTCCTTCACCCAAGACACTTCCTCCAGCACCTCCAGGTGGACCCCAAGGTGTTCCCAGGCCAGCCCAGAGTATATAGTATATATATACATAGTCCCTCCAGCGTGTCCTGGGTCTTCCCAGGGACCTCCTCCCGGTGGGACATGAACACCTTCCGAGGGAGGCGTCCAGGAGGCATCCGGAACAGATGCCCAAGCCACCTCAGCTGCACCTCTCAACGTGGAGGAGCAGCAGCTCTACTCCGAACTCCTCCTGTGTGACTGAGCTCCTCACCCATCTCTAAGGGAGCACCCAGCCACCCTATGGAGGAAACGCATTTCGACCGCTTGGACAATCTTGTCGGTCATTACACAAAGCTCATGACCATAGTAATCTTGACCGTGACCTTAGTAAATAAATGTGACTCAATTAGTTACAACTACTCAAAAAAATCTAGTTGCTAAAGGTTCTACATTACATAAAACTGACTCTTGTGAGCTTTAAGCCATGTTATGACGCTGTAACCTCCTCAAAAACAGACCCGGAGTTGTGTTTTGTCGCATTAACACGTTTGAATCAGCATCTCCAAAGCTTAACTCGCTCTGCTCCACCTTGTGATGTCATCAAGTGGTAGATTTAAAAGTGAACTGCTACCTTTAAACAGCTTTACTCTTCAACTCACTAGAATAACATAAAGTTGATTTTTTATATTTTTGTTTTACCTTTTGTACAGTTGAGATGGTGTATATAAAGTGTAATCTGCTGGTGCACAGAGGAGTGAACTCCAGTGAGGATAAAACAATAGCTGTAAAAAGGATGCAAATTATTCAAATGATTGACATCACAAGGAGGAACAGTATTGTCAGTTTGAGAAAAGAACAGAGTAAATATGCAAAGATTGTGTGTTAAACATGTGTGAATGATACAAAACACAACTCCAGGTCTGTTTGTGATGAAGAAACTACTTTTTATAGTGTTTATAGTGTAATATAGACCTTTCAAACTCATGGAAATACTTTTGCCGTCTGCTCCTTCAATTAGAACTGATTCAATGGCAATTACTTACCTAACTTCTGTCACCCACCACCTCCATCTAGAGGGGAAACTCGGAAATTTGATACTTTCTTTTGGATTCTACCTTTTGTTTACAGTAAATAACTTAACATAATAATTAAAAAAAAATTGGTCACTGTTCCTAAAAACTCTAAAGAGGAAGGCACTGTGGATCAAATTTCCTTTTTCAATCTAAACAAAATCGTATTCAGCAAGTAATACAAACGCCAGCACTATATCCATTATACTTAAGTTATTATGTCACGTCTTTGGTCTGTTGCGTTAAGATAAAAGCAAAAGGGGAAGGAAAAACCAGCCATAAATGTGAAGTTTCATCGTTTTTTCTCTCTCCTCTGTCGCTCACGGTCCATATATGGCAAAGGATTCAGTCGCGCTCACGGCACAGGGCGGAAACCAGCGCGGCGCGGTGTCAGCTGGGTAAAACCGTGTCTCATCCAGGAAGAAAGGACCAGTGCTGCTGCTTTCTCTGCGAGCCTGCACACTCTCCATACACTTATACAGGATCAAATCACTGCTCCCGTAATTTAGCAGGTAAGAGAAGCAGAATGTGTAATGAAAATGTTGACAGATGATCGATTTTAGCCAAAGACGCGTGCGTAACGGAGGCAAAACGCAACGAGACGTGTTCGCAAATCGTGGCATTTTGACTAGAAATTGCTTATTCTCAGTGTTTTAAAATTATTTTTTACCACGAATAGCAATACATTTTCAGCACAAAGCATCATTAGATTCCATTGCTGTGCGTAATGGTTAACGTAAACGCGGAACGATTGCGAAAATGTGCGTTTTTCTGCAGACTTTTGCAGCATTTGCTAACACAATTTGGGAGGGGTGTGTTGAGACAGGCTAAAAACCAGGAAATGCCGAAACGAAAAAAACCTAGCGCAAGGGAGGAGATACTAGTCCCATGTGAGGGCTAAATGAGCTGTGTAAACAATTAAACAGCTGATGTAATTGAAATATCTGTCTATTTAAACGCGTGTTGTCGCGTAACTTCACTGACACAATTTGCATCCCGTGGTGTCCTCATTATCACAGCAGAGTCTCGATGGTTTAATGTAAGGAATTATGTTGGAACCGCTTTAAAAAGTTATAAATAAACAAACCGAACCATTAAAACGCTTCAGCAAACTTTTAAAAATGCGAAATAAAATGAGGTGTAACATATTTTAATGGGGTACAGAATGCGACGTAACACCAACTACCGGCCGGTGCTTCTCTGGCTAAAAGCTAGCAGCACTGACCGAAGGAAGCGACTGCCAACCGGGTTATCGCATTAGCCTGTGCCCCTTGAACTTGATCAGGTGGAGCTTAAGGTTTATTTGACTGATTTAGATGTCGTAGTGGACCATTAGAATTAAACCAAGCTTGTTTTTACTGTTAAATGCACGCCAAGTCAATGGGATACTTGTTAATATAAGGGTATTGTTCTGTCTTGTCATTTCATTTGCCCCAGGCTCAGAGACCGGGCCTAACCTACTTCCGTGTTTGCAGCTTTTGTGCAGGAAAATTCCCACCTTATCTCCACAGAAACTAAACATTGCAATTAAACTGGGCAGATAAACCAAAAGGAACTATGTCATTATTTGGTTAAATGTGTCACTGCAATGTAATAGGCGTTCTGGGGTGGCCTAAATAACATGTATACGAATAAAAATTTTAATACACTGCCCTAAACTATCTAGTTTCAGCAATAATAATACAAGTTGAAAATGCTGCAAATGCAAATTATTATAGGGTTTGTGGTTGAAATTCTATGTAAATGAACCAGCTTTGTGTGTAACCCTTTTTTCTGCATGTTAGTTATGAATTTTTTTAGAATCTATAGCTGCATTCTTCTCGATTGTCATCTCCTGGTATGAATAAATGTAAAAACATAAGATTTTTTTTTTCCTGTTATAGATTTCTTGTAGCTTAATGAGTAGCTATTTCTTTCCTCAAGTTATTCCAACTTTGGTAATTTGCTGAATTGTTTAAAAAAAAAAAAAAAAAAAGATGCAATGAGTTTGATGGTCAACTAGTGAGCATTTTTAGTGGAGAACCAAGCATTTAATTCAATCTTACTGTCTTTATATAGAGTTAAATTTATGCATATTGGTTAATTTGTAATGTGTTTGTGATGAAATCCTCTGACATTTCTGCTTAGTCACAATTCAGTTATTGCATCTCTTCTTGCTGGAAAGCAAATAGTTATTATTTCATTAGTCTGTTTGCCTATGTTGTGTTTGTTAATTCCGATTGTTTCTCTGTCTTTTCAAATGAATAGCCACACCTTGAAACACTTATAAAGCTGAAATGTTTATAACCTAGAATCGCCCTAATTCTTTGTTTTTTTCTATAACTTAGTGCTGTGTCTTATCCCCTGGAGCTAGATGTACGCTTTATTTTCAACAATGCTGAGTTGTCAAAAGTATCGTATATCAGAAATCAGAAACTAGATACGCATTTGAGGAGTTATCGTACTAAAAAAGTGCCATTCACAAGACACAAATGAAGCTTTCCTGAGTCGCTTTGGGATGATTTTGAGCTGTATCAGAACAAGTATAAGAGCACATGAGGGATTGCAGTTAGTTGTAATGTGATATAAAACCACATGGCAATATGAAAGACTGATTTAATGTTGAAATTCACACTTACATCCACACACTACCGCAATGTTGTCAGTTTCCTTTTTGTCAGAAACACTTTGTATCACAATAGGAAATCCCACGCTCCACTAGAGTCTGTTTCACCCAGTGTTGTCCACCTCATTCATGGACCACTCCCTTTAATAACATCTGAGTCACTGTGGCTCAAACCAGGAAGTGGACTTTGGAGAGCCAAACTAGTGCAGGTCAAACTAGTGCTGCTAAATATGAGCCAGTCTGGAGACTCTGAAATAAATTTAGAATTAAAGGAAAAGTTACAGAGGAAAAGAGGTGGGAAGAGTCTACAAAATTGCTAGAGACTAATACGCATTCAAATGTATTGCGTGCTACTACTACTACTACTACTACTGCTGCTACTACTACTACTGCTGCTACTACTACTACTGCTGCTACTACTACTACTACTGCTGCTACTACTGCTGCTACTACTGCTGCTGCTACTACTGCTGCTGCTACTGCTGCTGCTACTACTACTGCTGCTACTACTGCTGCTGCTGCTACTACTGCTGCTGCTACTGCTGCTACTACTGCTGCTACTACTGCTGCTACTACTGCTACTACTGCTGCTGCTACTACTACTGCTGCTGCTGCTACTGCTGCTACTGCTACTACTACTGCTGCTGCTGCTGCTACTACTGCTGCTGCTGCTGCTGTTACTACTGCTACTAAAACTACTAGTGCTGCTATTAAAACTGCTACTACTACTAATACTACTACTACTGCTGCTACAAAAAACTACTGCTACTAAAACTGCTTCTTCTACTACTACTACTACTACTGCTTTTAAAAACTGCTTCTACTACTACATGCTACTACTACTGCTACTGTTATTACACGCAACTACAAACTGCTACTACACACTGCTACTAAAACTACTACTACTACTCCTGCTTATACTGGTTGTGATATTTTATTTTATTCTTATTTCTGTAACAACGCCATCAATCACTCAATCTCACAAGCCATTCATAAATACATCACAATACATGATGGATACACTGGCAGCTAATATTAATTAAATGAAAAGTAAACAAAAAATTTGGAAAACGTGTTGAGAATCTCAGAATGAGTTTACTCCACAATGATAATAATTTCTTTAGACAATAGAATGTGATTTTTAACATTAAATCATAGTACTTTTTATTCTATTCCCATGTGGTTTTATATGTGTGTAATGCTTCAGTGGTCCAGGTAGGTTCCACCGTAGTCTAGGGGTGTATACTAGTCCATCTGATCTTACATATCTGTTAAAGTCACAAGAACTCATTCGAAATCTTCTCTCGATCGTCGAAACCAAATGGGTGTGTTTGGGTGAGTAGGCAAAGCATCTCAAATGTAAAACATATTTGCATTTAAACTGTCAAATATTTAAATTAGATCGTGACCTAGGTGCACAAGTGTCACTTTTACCTTGTAAAACGCAAAACCTGGATTGGCCAAAATCTTATTAAAAGTATTTATAGGTACACTGTGTAATTTTTCCAGTGAAGGGTCTGGAGATGTTATTACTTAGAATGGCTTTAAAGTTATCTACATGTAGGGTTGTCAAAAGTATCAAAAATCAGATGCTAATTGATTCTAAAACAAGTATCGAAACTAAGTACTCATTTGAGCAGGTATCAGTACTAAATAAGTCCCATTCACAAGACACAAATGAATCTTTAAAATGATGTTGAGCTGTATCAGAACAAGTATAAGAGCACATAGGCTAGTATACTCCCACTATGAATCCTACCTGGACCAGTGAGGGATTACACAGATATAACTGATACTCTGCAGTGACATCACGCTGGGGCTGTTCTTCATGTGTCTCTAATCATGCACAATTCCCGCTTTAGTAAACAATGTCAAAAAGATTTAAGATTATCAGACAAAAAATACCAAATAGATTTAAACTGCACATTTTCAGGAGCCTGTGATCAGTCCTGAGTGTTCATTTTCCTGTTTAGGAGTTTTCAACAAAGAGGTGAGAGTGACTGACAAAAAACTGAGTAAAAAATCTGTAGTAGTTCTAAGATCTTGTGCCACAAGATTTCGCAAGACAAAATTGCCACAAGATTGTGCACACTTGGTAAAAAAGATCTTGTGAGATTTTTTCCTCATGTTTTTACATTTGGATTGAAAAAATAGAGTACTGGTGAGCTACGTTTTTTGGGAATGCGTAGTCCTAAAAAGCAGAGGTACAATAAGAGCAGAAATATTAAATCAAGTAAATCAAAAATGGTGAGGCTAAAATTGGGAACTGAAATGCACAACATATTTATTATATCCTTAAAGAATGTCAAAATCTCATCTTGTCTCTTGTTTTCGTAATCCAATCTTGTGTCTTGTTTTGTGGAAATTGTATCTCGTCCCACCCCCTGTAGCTCCAGTTCTTTCTGGTCAGATTGTGTTCAGATTAAAGAGTAACTTGAATAACTACCCTAGCCTCTAGTTGGCATGACCCCACCGAAAATTTATGACACTTAGCTGCAATATGTGTTTTTCAAGCAAAATTCATAAATGTCATATTGCGGAACACTCCAGACAAAGCCATACCATCTCCATGGAGACGAGGTGGTGGGGGGAGTTAGAGCATCTTTAAAGTCACTTATGTGAAAAGTAGTAGTAGAAGTGGTAATTTGAGAAGTGTGTCTTGTTTTTAAGTCTCCATCAGCTTTATGCAAAAACACGCTGCTGTGTTTTGCATGGAGCTCTGAGGATCCTCAGCCGAGAAGGATGAACTTCTAATGGACATTTGGTTAAAAGGGTTTGGTCCTGGACTTAAGCAGAACAAATTCACAAAGTTGTGTCTCAAGAACAAGTTCAAACTTGGACAAATGTAATGAGAAGTGTTAAGAATTCATTGTAATAGGCTTCATGTGTGGGTTTATTTTTACCACTCAGTGTTTACAATTTTCTCATTTGGAATTTCCTCATTGTGGGGAAAATAAAGGTTGACAATACAATAGAAATTAGCTAATTTTTTTAAAATATTTTGCTTAGAGAAAGATCCCGCACACCATCTTACTTGCAAAATGTGAGATTTATTAGGACAAACAACAACGTGCAACATTTCGGCACTAGACGTTCATCAGGCAAACGGACTTTTTCTCTGTGTTTGGGCTGCTCCTCCCTCTCCTCCAACATGCCCATTTCAAGTAAATGATGTGCAAAGTTTTCATTCTTTTAAATATTTAGCTTGAAATAAGGACGCACTGATTTCAGGTTTTGCAGTTAAGATACCGATATTGATGCTGATATCCGATATTAACCAATACCAGTGTAGGGATCAAAATACAAAAATCTTATTACAAATTGGATCTGATTGTGTTTATGTATCCTACAATAACTATTCAACAGCTTTGAATGAATGACAGTTTAAACATCATGATATGTCCTGGACTACATCAGTCAGTAAAAAGTCCAAACAGGATATCGACTGAATCGATATCTTTGAACACAAATACTGCAAATTTTCCTGGAGGGGTACTGATACTCTAGCCTGATTCATCAGCCGGTTTCACTTCATAGAAACCATCTGACCTCGCAGCATTAGGATTCGTTTGCTTGACAGCAGACGGGTACTTTTTTTTTCATTTAACCAATCGCTGCTATTTGGTCGTGATGTATGTAATGCACCACTAACGGGGTTAACTGATATATTAAGCTTTTCCCAAATCCTGTAGGACGAAGGGCAATAACGTCTTTCCCCTTGACAAAATTCACCAAGCATTCTCTTCATTTCAGCTTTAAATCCTCAATCTCGGGAATTGTCTACATCCATCTATACCGCCTTGTTTATTGTTGTGCTGTACCATAAAAATGGACCCTCACAGCTTTTTCGCTGATTGGCCAATGCATGGTCTACAACTTCTGTGGTTCTTGCAAATTGTCTAGTGTGTATTTTGATTCCTGATGTGTAGTCACTGGAGAGAAATTAAATTCAGAAGAGGCACTAGGTGACACCAGCCTGGATACTGATACTCAACCCCAGTAGTATTCATATCGGTGCCTCCCCAGCTTGAAATTGAATTGAATGGGACTTTTTTTAGTATTAATACCTGCTCAAATGAGTATCTATTTTCGATACTAGTTTTAGTATCGAATAGTATCTGATTTTCAATGCTTTTGACAACTCCAGGAGACATGCAGTAATATAACATATTCTCTTTAAGAACTAAATGTCCTTGTGACTCCATGTGGTCTTATTCTGTGTAAAAGCTGATAACCCTGTAGTTTAGACCTACAAGCATGTTCTGAAATACATCGGATTCTTGTATTAGTTTAAAGTTTTAGATTTCATTTTTCTCTCAAATGTCAGTGCTTAATGTATACTGTGAAAAGAATCTTGATTTTTTAAACTATAACTTACAAACCTAATGGCAATCCTCCCAAATGTGTTCAGACCCGCCCAAACTGAAGCTGCATTTTGGTGATTTCAAGTTTTGTACTGTTGCGGTTTTAATGTAATTGTTTCGTAATATTACTACTTAAATACTTCTTTAACATTACATAGCAGTTTGTGTCCACATACTTTTACTACAAGTTCAGACCTGACGCCGCATTTTTCAGTTTTTTACACAACTCTTAAAGGAGCCCTGTGGGGTTTTACTGCTGCTACACATGACTAAGGATTTCCTAAAGATATAACTTTTCAGTGTGGGGCCTTCCATGTCCTTGTCTCCATGGAGATGTTATTGCTTTGCCTGGAATGTTCCACAGTATGGCATACAACATGACTATCGTTCATGTATTTAATTAGTGTTTTTTTTTTATTGTAGAGAAAATACCTTCAGTGCTGTTTGTAGAGCTCGTCTCTCCCCAGACCTGACATGTAACTTTGCTTGCTTGACTCCATGGAGATAAAGTATATAGTTAAATGTCATACTGTGAAACAATTTAGGCAAAACAATATTATTATTATTATTATCTACAACACTGAGACAAGCCGTTTGTATCCAGCAGAGGTTTTACAAAAGTTTATTTTCATGAATCTCTTGTTAAAATGGGTTTTGTTTGTTTTAGTAAGAAAATGATTACAGAATGAATATAAAACATAGAAAATAAAATAGGGTTTGTTTTTCTCCTTCTCAGTACTGGTTGTACACTGTGAGACTATAGTTTTGTTTGTGCACTGAACCAGGCCATTTTAATTGTTGCGTTCGCTAATTACAAGCAGAGTCCCCTGTGTAATCATGGTACATGTTAACAGTTAACATGCTTGGAACATGCATTTTCCTTGGAACTCTGCGTCCTCTGACCATTTTCCTCTCCTCTGCGTCCTCTGACCCTCTCCTCTGCATCCTCTGTCCTCTTCTGACCGTCTCTCTGACCCTCTACCTCTCTTTTCCTTATATTAAACCTGTATGATGCTGTGTTTTCAGTTATGGCCGAGTTGGCGGGTTTGGTGGCTCGTTTGGAGGTAGCAGTGGGGAGGCTGGAGGGCATGTCTCTGTCTGGAGGAGGAGGAGGAGGGGCTGCTTCTCCTTCTGGAGGACGTGAGTATTACATTTATTTATTACACACAAAAATCTAGGTTTTAATTGTCTGTGTTTGCCAAAGGAGACCGTGGTCGTTACTATTCTGTTCTGTTTACTAACAACCTGAGCAATTAATCAGTATGAAAGTTTTCCTGTAGTTTTCTATTTCGGAGATCAACTCGTTTCTTTTATTAAGTCGTTTAGATGAATATTGCGATTTTAAAATGTCCAAAATTCTAACATAATGATCCAGGGTGACCATAGATCATAACTATAGCAGACGTCCACACCAAATACACAACTGGATGAGGACATGTGCTGAAATTGGTACTTTGCAGTGACATCACTCTGGGGGGTTCTACATGGATGTCTAGCAAACACTGAAAACAAAGTTTTAAGATGGTCTGAAATGAAAACTCAAGAAAAAAAATACAAACTGGAACAACACATGTTCATGAGCCTGTGATCAGTCTGAGCGCTCATGGTCCTGTTTAGGAATTTGATTTTCAAAAAAAGATGAGAGTGATTCACTGAAACTCTTGGCTAATGCTAACTAGCCTGTGACTGTCATGTATGGGAGAGGAATTTGTTTAACAACACAAAATCAGATCACCTGTTGTAGTTTTTATTAAGTCAGTTCTTTCTGGTTAGATTGTGTTAAAACAAAACTTGAACAAATAAAAAAATGAAAGTCTAACTGGAGTAACAGAACTTCATACAGAGCTGCTGATTGTTGATGGCAAAATATCAACAGTTTATAACTTGTTATAAATAAGAATCCACACAAAACCACTTTGTAACACAGAATTGTCTTTTCCCTCTTCAGCTGTGGCCAAGTTTGTGGAGGAGTATGACGACATCGTGAGCGGAGCTGTGGCTCAGTATCTGTCTCTCAGTCAGAAGATCGGAGGAGACGTCCAGAAACATGTACGTGAAAGTTACACTTAGTGTTTGATAGTAAATAAATCATATTGGCAGTGCTGTTTCATGCAGTTGGTTTGGGTTTGCATTAGTTCAGGCTGTATTATGATATTCTTGTTTTGTGTGCAGGCGGACATGATGAAGCAGGGCTTTGCTGCTGTCAGACAGATCCTTGTGCTCGCCTCCTCACATCAGAAACCCTCAGACGTAAGTACTGCCAACACTGCTACTGCTATTACTATTACTATTACCACTGCTACTAATACTACTACTACTAAACTAAAAAAAATATATTAAAACAATATCAAGATTTTTCCTTTTTGTCACGGTGTTCACTTTCTATTTATCTATTGATAAAGTACAATTAAAAGATTTGCATTTCTCTCTGTGATTGACTCTGAGCCAGTGACAAGTAGATTTAACCAGACCGAGATTGACCAATAGCAGTGGGTGGGATACATTAAAGAGCCCATAT